ACATTTTTTGGATTGGGCCGAAATTTTGTACAAAAATCATATTTTTGTTTTTTTGGAATCTTATTGCCTAAAATTTGTCGAAATTTGTCTGTACTTACCTTTTCAGTACTATCATCTGAAAATGTCATCGAAAAATGTATGGCATTTTCTTAAAAAATAGGCACAGAGTTATAAAGATTTCGGATTACCAGCGTTTAAATATCTATATTTGTAGAATACGTGAAGTCCCTTAAACTCTCTGTTTCTCCTTATGGTATAATTTACAGAGGTAAAGCTTAGAAAATGCTTATTTCTGATTACCACTATAACAGCTTGAGAGCAGTGTATTTTGCCTATCTTCTTTTATGAAGGCGATTTTAGTGGCTACGATTGCTTCGAGAGGTGCACGCGGCGTTGCGTGCCGCGTAGCCATGATTTTCAACCAGAATACAAATTGATTTTCTTTCTTATAATTTGCACATAATCAAGGCATGGCTAGAAAGTTGGAAAGTGTGTACTTTGATTCATTTCGAACATATTACGAACTTTGATTATGGTTCCACCGTGTGCGCAGCACCCATTTTCGCGCCTAACTTCACCATGAAGTGCACAATATGTATTAATGCCTAAATGAATTCAATTGAAAGGAACAATAGAACAATATGTACATAGAATTTTGATGGCCAAAGTTCGAAACCTCGTATCTCTGTTTGCGACGTTGCAGACTTCCGGTCATATTTTACTTTTTCTCTCTCTTTTGTCGACGTAATTTCCCAAAAATGTGCATAATTTTTCGTATTTCTCTTCTCCATTACCTGAATATTGTACATATGAAGCTGTGAAGTTTGCTTGTTTCTGTTCGAAAAAATAAAATTGTAACGAGAACACCGCAATTAAGATACGTGGCTCCGCACTTTGGCTGTCGATTTGTGTTCGTCGTACCTCGTAGATCCTTTTGATTTTAATTCAGTCGCACATAGCTTTTTCTAGCATAGGTACATCAAAACATCAAAACCTCTTGGATTTTAATTAATTTCGCCAAGTTCTTATCGTCGCATCTGCACTGCATCTGTGACTCACATCATTAGCCCGTGTCACACTATCAAAGCTAGCCATCAAAATATCAAGGTCAGGTGTTGTGATTGGTTTATTCGATGACTTGGACCAATCACATCACTTGACCTTCACATTTTGATGGAGTATTTTGATATTGTGACATAGGCTTTTATTTACCAACGTAACTCTGAAGCTTTGATAAGGGCAGGCCCCTTTGCTCTAGAGCCGGTGCTGAAATTCGGGTCCAAACTGAGACGAGTTTTAAAGAGTTCGCCAAGTTTCTTGGACGTAATTTACGGCTAATGTTACCGAAATTGAGCGGACCAACTTTAACGTTAAATTTTCAATCGGATCCAGAGCGGAAGGATGTGGCAAATTCTAACTTGGTGCGTTTTCTGTTCTCAAGCGATCCTGTCGAACGCGAAGAAGCTATCAATGGAGCTGCCCCCGGATTTCCTGGTTGGAGCGGCCACCGCTGCTTATCAGGTCGAAGGAGGATGGAACGAGGATGGTGCGTCTCTCTATTTTTTCTTTTTTTTCGTTTTCAAGTGTTTTTTCCTTCTCTTCCTTCCTTTCCATTTTAAGATAAAAAGCTCGCCTGAAAAATATCTCTTAAAGGTTCCTACATTCAAATAATGGACATCCCCCCTCCTCTCCCACCATACCCTCTCTTGCAATCTTCATTTGGGCCTAGTTTTGTGGTCCCAATGAATTTTTAGGTGCGCCTTCCCCGGTAAAAATTGTGTCAAACTGACCTTGTCAGTCTATCATCGCCTCCAAGTTACTCAGAGCAACGAAAATATTGAAGTTTTGCAATTTTTCTTCTATGAAATTGCGATATTTCTACATCAATTGGCCAACGAATGCCGATTTTAAACCATCAGACTCAAGATAGGCAATTTACACTGCAAACGAAAATTACATTTTCTCTCTGTTTAATTGCAATTGATTGCACTAAGGTCCTTCAATCAGTAGATGAGCAACTTAACAACAATCTGAAGCAGTAAGTAAGTAGCAACAATTTCACAATGTAATAGCTATGTATTGCAACCTATTCTACTGAGGACACCGTTTCATACGACAATCTACCTGATTATGTCAAGCTAAACATGGCTGGAGATGGAGATTTAAATTGTTCGGCATGGTGGAAAACTGAAAAGGGGTCAAATATACGGATTTTCAATATTTAGTGCCTCAAGCTTTCTGAAACTTTTAAGAACATCAGGTCAGATTTTCAAGCAATAATTTAAAGATATCAAAAAGTGTCAGGCTAAAAAGAATAATAATCTGTGTTTCTATTTTTGTCACAAATCTTTTCTTTTTTTTTTAGGAAAGGGTGAGAGTATTTGGGATCATTTAGTACACACTCAACCAGACTCTATTAATGATAAGACAAACGGTGATGTTGCCTGTGACTCCTATCACAAGTACAAGGAGGATGTAAAACTTTTGAAGGATATAGGAGTAAGTGTCTTCATTGTAATTTTTAAACCTTTTGATCAGTACGTCTTTGATGTCCCTAGACCTTCTTATAAATTGCCTCGCGTAAGAAAAGTGATCATTCAAGGAGCAAATCAGTGAAATGGATACTTTGGTAAAAACATTTTTCATTATGTATCCATCCTTATTATTTTTTTCTCTCTTGATTTGATTTAATTGAGTCTTTCCTTAGTAAAAATGTATAAGAAACTTTTTTTATTTTATCATTCAGAGATGCTTTAAAATTTAAATAAATTTACAAAACAGGAAGAGCTGCTGGTACACAATGGTTTCAGTTTTGAAAAAACAATTTTTTTTTTTAAAAAAAAAAAAAAAAAAAAAAAAAAAAGGTATTATTTTCCCTTTCTTTTCTTTTTTTTTTCTTAGATATGCCATTAAAGTCCACGCCATGAAAAGTGGCGTTTAAGGGGCAGAGTTCAGGTGAGTGACTCAGGAAAAAAGTTTGCTGAATTGATAAACTGGGATATTGGAAGTCTATACAACAACTCTGGAATGTTTATATTAATGTTCTGGCTATTAATATAACATTTTCATGACATTGAGTTTACAACCAATGCGTTCTTAACAACATTCCAGAGTTGTCATGCAGCTTTTTAATGTCTTGGGATGCTAGCTCAGCAAATTTTTTCTTGTGAAATTTACCAGTATTTCAGACCATAAACAATATCCCAAGTCAGTCACTGCCTCCACCCTGCACTGGTCACTTTTATTGGCCTGGACTCCAAGAGATTCATGTAGGACCTAATTTAGATTTAGAAAAATGAAATCTCCAGAGATAAGCAAATCTCCTCAAGGGTTTCAAAAATAATAATTTTTTAGCTAAATTTTTAAATACTCTCTAATACTCAAATATGGTTCTCTTTTGTAATTAAAAAACTCTAGAATTGGGTCTCCTTCATTTCGAAAATGAGATGTATTTTAAATTTACTCGACCTCACAATGTATAATTCCTTCAAAGTATAGAAATTTATGATTTCTCTGATAATTTATATTTCGCCTCCAGTTTCAGGTATACCGTTTTTCCATATCCTGGACTCGAATTTTGCCCCAAGGAGACACGAATATTGTCAATCAAAATGGAATTGATTACTACAGAAATCTTATCAACGAGCTCAGGGCAAACAACATCATTCCAATGGTAAGCATCCATCAAGGAATTGGTTGATTTTTCAAATTCACTGTGAGGATTTTCTTTCTCCTTTTTTTTTCAACGGTTTACTCTAAAAAAATAATGATTGCGTACCTTAAACTTTTTATTTTTTAATTTGCTTCCAAATTGATGCAGCCCCTAAAAAGCTTTTAACGTTTTCAATACTTTACGTATATGTACACCAGAACGTTTAATTCAGATTTTATCCTGGAAACCATTCAAATGTAGATCCATTTTTTCATAGAACAGATGTGAGATCCAGCCAAAGTGTTATCTGATGTAAAAGGAGTATAAAAATCTAAGAATATTAATGAAGAGAGCTTGTTTTTCCTCAAATTTCCTCTGTGTTAGGCGACATGGTACTAAAGATGAATTCAGATTTTATCAAGGTAGCTGATGGAATGCAGCCTCATTTTTTTCTGGGAGCATGTGAAAGATCTAGCTCTTGCTTCATCGTCTCATACTCACTCATTTTTCAATTTCTTGCAGGTGACCATGTATCATTGGGATTTACCACAAAAGCTACAAGAATTGGGTGGATGGACAAATCCTATTATAGCTGATTACTTTGAAGCCTATGCGAGAGTTTTGTACAAAAATTTTGGTGATCAGGTATTTTATTTCTTTTTTTGGTGTATTCATTATGACGGCTGGAAGTAGTCAGGCCAAAAAATGCAGAGTAAATTCTTCATTGGCTGCATTCATTCCTCTTAGACTATCAATGGATGATGCGATTGTTAGATCGTCAGTCGACTCCTCTGTTTGATCGATAGAAGATTTGATTGATTGACCAAGGAACGACTGAACTGATTGATTAACAGGAGATTTGACTGGTATATCGACCAACAATTCAACTTCAGCCAATGGACTATAGTCCGTGCAAACCAATTAGACAGAGTAAAAATTTGGGCATTTTCGGGCGAGCCAAGAATTGCAACGTCGGATCCCGGCGAGGAGCCACTGGGTCAGCGCTGAGCTCACCGGGGTATTGTTCCCATTGTGTCCACCCCAGGTCTTTACCTGGCGGTCTGACCCTTGTCATTAAGGCCTTCTGACTACTGTTGGACCAAAAATTGCACACCAATTTTTTTTATCATTTGTGAATTTTTCCTTCATTTCAACGGATTCGGATTCAGCTTGCAATCCTGATGAAAAATATGTACAATTGTAGGTAAAAAAAATGGTAAGTTATTGTATTACAGAACTTTTTGGAGGTTTTGGAAAGCGCTGAAGGAATTCGCGAGTTCTGTAATACAATAATTTACCAATATATTTACCTATAATTAAATATATTTTTCATTATGATTGCAAGATGAATCCGAATCCATTGGAATGAAGGACAAATTCACAGATGATTAAAAAATTGGTGTGCAATTTTTGGTCCACCAGTAGCCAGAGGGCCTTAATGACAAGGGTCCGGCTGCCAGGTAAAGGCCCGGCGTGGACACAATGGGAACAATACCCCGGTGAGCTCAGCGCAGCGCTGACCCAGCGGCTCCTCGCTGGGATCCGACGTTGCAATTCTCGGCTCGCCCGAAAATGCCCAAATTTTTACTCTGTCCAATTGGTTTGCACGGACTATAGTGGAATTGATTGTTCATTGACTAGTTGCATTATTTGCCAATAGACCCGTAGACTCTCAATGAACCAGTCGAATTGATTGTCCATCCAACAGTCAATTTTTCAGTCAATCAACCAGTAAAATCTCTTGTAGATTATTGAGTCAAATTGTTTATGGATGGACCAGAGAATCGATCGTCAATTTACCAGCGAATTGCCTGTTGATTGGCCAATGGAAACGAGTGAGGATCGACAAGTAAAATCAAGTTTTAGTTGACCAGATGAATCATTTCAATTAACTATTGAAATATCTCATAATCGACATATGGCTCAACTAGTTTATCATTAGACAATGATCTGGAAAAGTCAGGAAACTCATGGGAAAAAGCATAAAATTTTCTAAGTAGCGCATCAGCTTAGCAACTTCAGCCAGTGCTTTTTGAGAGAGCAGGAACAACTTCAGAGTGTCTTTTTCCTTAATTTGAATCTTTAGAGGTAAAGATTTTGTCTTTAGTTCAGCCAAAGTCAGCCTAATTACAAGCAAACAATTTTAATTGTAGATTTTGATCGAAGGCCAGGGATATGTCAGAAAAGAGACAGTTGAACACAGGATGGAAACCCTGTATCTGACTGTTTTTCTTTCAGCATGAATTCATCTTTAAAAGTTTAAGTCTTCAATATGCCGTGATAAAAATTTCAATAATAGAAAGAATAACATTTTTGTGCTAGGTTTAATGTTTTTGCTGCTGTAATGAGTTCTCAGTCAAAACTCATCACTTTTTCTCTCAGGTGAAATGGTGGATCACAATTAATGAACCCCTTGAAGTTGTATCAGGCTACTCAGAGAAGAGGTATGCCCCATTTTTAGATTTATATGGAATTGGAGACTACCTTGCTGGACACACCTTGTTACGAGCACATGCAAAAGCGTATCGATTGTATGACAATGAATTTCGCGCTAAGCAGAATGGTAAGTTGGCTGTAAGCTTCAAACATTTACAAAATCAAGTATATCCTACAGATGGGAGCCAAAGACCGGACTGGCTTCCTTAAATTAGTCCAGAAAAAATCGTGAATACAATAATATAAAGGAATTTTTTATACTACGATTATGGCTTCACTGTGGCAATTCTTTCAATTTGACGACACTAGTCAGGCTACCTTACATAGAATCGATTATTTATAATGAATTTACATGGAGAAAATACAAAAAGAGGGAAAATTCCCAACTTCTAAGACTTGTAATTGTTAAACAACAGTTTGTTCTGACATTTTTTAAAATTTCCTTCCCTTTCAAAAAGAAAAAAAAAACTCCCAAAAATGCAAGGAAGAGTTTTGATTAGTATTTTGTCTTAAAAATAAAACATAATTAGAAATGTTTGAACAGTACAATTGAGGTACTCATTTTTTTGTATCAAGCCATCGATGTACCATTGCCTACAAATAAAGAATTTATGCAAGGAGAAATCGCAGATGTTTAGTAGTTAAATGGGCCTGTTGCAAACTGTTGCTGGAGCAAAAGTAAGAGTTGTTACTCATAGAAAATGTCTCAAAAATCATGATGAGCGCACCGGCAATGTCTGAAATGCACTCCTTACTTCACAATTTGCATAAGAATTTTGCGTTTTTTCGAGCTTCCCGCTTCAAAAACAATACGAAGGCACTGGCGAGCATTTTGTTAGAGAAGTCATTCCATCCAACCCTTGCTCACAAAGATACTACGCAATATTCAACATAGCCGACACCAATCCACCAAAACACATGTAACGGGACAATGATTCTTACCTGCTGATAACAATTGGCGTGTTTACATTCCCCTTTTTTTCCCATTGATAGATTTCCGCGTTGATTGACCGCATGCTCTCCTCAACTTGCGTGCGGAAGCGTCGGCCATGTTGAGCAGGGATTGAATGGAATGACTCCTCTAACGAAATGTTCACCCATGCCATAGTATTTTTTTTGAAGCGGGAAGCTTAAAAAATCGTAAATTTCTTATTCAAATTGTGAAGTTAAGAGTGTATTTGAGATTTTGTTGATGCGCTTATTATGATTTTTGAGACATTATCTATAGGGAACAACTCTTATTTTTGCTCTAGCAAAATTTTGGAACAGGTCCATTGTAAATAGAGGTATGATTTCTCTGAAGAATAAAAAGTGACTGATTTTTGCTGTTTCTACAGCTTGTATCATGTGGCTTTTTAATTTTTTTGTATCTTAAGTGAAGAACCTTATTCCAATGCTATATTTCAGCATACTAATTTATCATCCTCCATGCAAAAGAACGTATCTCATATGCATTGCTTCAATATTTTTCAGTTACATTTCATTTGTTTATGAGAGAATCATCTCATGAATTTCCTGACGTTTCTTGTGATTTTCCTTCTTTCCTTGTGATAATTGACTCTGAAATTTTCAGACTAATCCGTGTGACAGTTCTCCATGAGAAAATAAAATGTTGGTAGTAATGCTGAAACATCACAGACAAGATACATTCCTCTGTGTGGGATGCGACTAATAATAAATATTCTAAAATTATTTATTTGTGTTCAACAAAGATAAATAGTGCACAACTATCTGCAATCCTTAAGAAATATTTACTCGTCTACTTTCATTTTAACAGTGTATTCTTTCAAGGCTTTATTTAGTAACATAATTTCAAAATATTTTTAATAATACAAATTTTAAAAAAAAAATACATATTTTGTAATTATTATCGAAACCACCTTGAGAAATAACGTCGCATTTATTGAAAGTCGTATCATTTTATTTGAGACAAGTCATGTCCCATAAAAGAATGAAATAAAAAAATGAAATGCATTCATAATATTTCAAAGCATCTGAAACTCAGTTACGTGATTTTTCAATGTATCATTCGACTTGGGGCAATTCATTCTCATCTTAGTCATCAATTTCAGAAATTCTATCATCTGCCTCCTTTTGTTCCAGGCAAAGTTGGCATAACCGTGAATGGTAATTTCTTTTTCCCACAGAGCAATGAGACAGAAAACATCACAGCAGCAGAAAGAGCTCAACAGTTCGAGGTACATAATTTTTTAAAACATTTGTAAATTTGCTTTGATTTTAATGAAAGCCTTAATTGACGGAATTCATAAGTATTTTTTCTTACTTTTTGATTTAACAGGGAGCAAATAACGATCGCAAAAAGAGGGGGACAGTTTTTTTTAAATTTTTTGAAATGTTTTGTTTCCAGAAAAAGTAAAGTGAAGTTTTTCAAATGAAGTATGAAGCCTACGACCTGATTGGCCGTTTAATTTATTTTGCGGCTTTAGTCACATTTTAAGTTGTGGATTTTAAATTACAGTTTCAGGCCGATTAAATTGTTTTTTATACAATGAAATAAATACATTATAGGTATAATAAACTGGTTTACAGTAATTTTGATACTTTATTGTAAATAATTTTAAGCATTGTCTCCTTCTTCTAGCATGGCTGGTTTGCACATCCAATCTTCAGTGTTAGCGGTGATTACCCACCTATCATGCGACAACGAATCGACGCTAACAGTGCCAAAGAGGATCGAGCTCGCTCGAGGCTTCCCAGATTTACTGAGGAAGAGAAAGAACAGCTGAAAGGTATGTTTGTGATAACATTCATCGGTTCTTTATCTTAATTTGAAAGAATATTTTTCAAGATATTAGACTTCAGTGGAACTTTCTTTGCATCCTCTCTGACGCCAACCATTAAATAGAGTTTTACATTTTATCCAGAAGGTCCTAAAAGGCTCGATTCCTACCAAAAAATCTCTCGACTTTACAATTTCTCTCTGCAGTGAGTGTTTACCTCTTCACACAATGTCAGATTGTATGCACTATGCTACATACTTTTCCTCTCTACCAACAAAACCATAGCCATTTATTGTCTCCTCACAGACAACAAAAAGCATATAAATGAGTAAATTGTTCCGTTCCTTCAGAAAAATCAGCGTATTTGTGGATTTCCAAGTCAGAATTACTTAATTCATATAGTTTCCAGATGTAATAGTGCGCTGCAGAGGTAAATGATGACAATAATCCAATGTTTTCTCACAATGATTGATGAAAGATGTACCACATTTAGGTTAAAAATGTAAGACTGAAGGCAAATGCAACATTTTTGTTATAAACACCTTGTTTTCTCAAGGGGAAAAGAAAAGAAAGTTTTGCAATTCATCAGTGCCCTGGGAACATCAGGAGGTAGTCTCACAAGGGGAGCTTCCCAAGTGTAACCGGAATTTCGAGTTGAAATTTCGCATGAAGATACTAGAGATGATTTTAGGGATGCCGTATTTTTTCGTTTTTTCGAATGGGGTCGGGAAAGCCCTCAAAAAAAGGGCTAAAGATGCGGAAAAAACGCGTGCGCTAGCGGCTCAAGGTAAACGTAGGTGATAGAGGCTCTGAATGCTTATGAGAACCGCGTGGCCAAACGGTAGCGCGCTCGCCTCGCAGGCGGGAGGTCCTAGGATCGGATCCTGATTACTGCTCGTAATTTTATTTTACTTTATGCTTGTTTCTTTTTCACTTACTTTATTTTGCACCATTCGCTCCGCAAACCGACTTACGAAGTAGAACACGTAGTGACTGAAGATTTTTTACATATGCTGATAAAAACTCGAAGTTTCTCTTGGATTGAAACGTTATATAAAATTGAATAAACAAAACACTCTAAAACCCACCAAATTTCGTTGCTAAGCAGAATTTCCGGAGTATCAGTCAGATACAGATACAGATTCGACTGATACTCCGGAAATTCAGCTTGGCAACGAAATTTGGTGGGTTTTAGAGTGCTTTGTTTATTCAATTATATATAACGTTTCAATCCAAGAGAAACTTCGAGTTTTTATCAGCATATGTAAAAAATCTTTAGTCACTACGTGTTCTACTTCGTAAGTCGGTTTGCGGAGCGAATGGTGCAAAATAAAGTAAGTGAAAAAGAAACAAGCATAAAGTAAAATAAAATTACGAGCAGTAATCAGGATCCGATCCTAGGACCTCCCGCCTGCGAGGCGAGCGCGCTACCGTTTGGCCACGCGGTTCTGATAAGCATTCAGAGCCTCTATCACCTACGTTTACCTTGAGCCGCTAGCGCACGCGTTTTTTCCGCATCTTTAGCCCTTTTTTTGAGGGCTTTCCCGACCCCATTCGGAAAAACGAAAAAATACGGCATCCCTAAAATCATCTCTATTATCTTCGCGCGAAATTTCAACTCGAAATTCCGGTTACACTTGGGAAGCTCCCCTTGTCAGTAGAATCGAGCCTCCTTGCGATCCTCCTAAACAGTTTTCAAAATCTATGGCTCATTTCAAATGTGAGATAATACCTAACATGTATCTCTTTACTGATTTGGACTACATTTTGAAATGAGGAACTACAATTTCTGGCTCAGTATAGAAACGACGCATATACCATTTGTTTCCCTATCCACATAAGTGTTTTTTGGAATTGCATACTATGGTCCATTCAATGTGTCTATTCCAGTTTGAAGCACATAAAGAAGAGAATCGTATTTTTTTCTTGACTCGCGTAGTTTAAATCTATAAATTTGATCAAAAAAAGCCTATTTTAAGCCTTTCTTTTGTAACTCTCTATTCAGGTTCTGCTGACTTTTTTGGTTTGAATCACTACTCCAGTAGGAAAGCCTATTCTGGAGAAATAGGGCCCTCTCCTTCACTTGAACGGGATAGTGGCGTTATCAAGACTATTGATATTCATTGGGAGACAGGAGAACTTCCTTGGTTGAAGGTAAGTTCTTCTTCCCTTGGAGAAGGTGGAATCTTGAAATTAAAAGAAAATTTACTTCGTATAATTGTTTCACTTACCTATCAGTGTGACCTTTGTCAGGTTAAAACGACTGTTTTTCATCCTGCTTTCTAAAGAATTTCTAAAAATTTCAAGCGAAAATGCAGCTAATATTTCATCAAAACTCTAAAATATTAGCATAAATGTGAATCAGTGCTGTTGAAGTATGTTGTAGCCTTTGTTTCATAGTTTCGATATTGATAAGATCCTTTTGATAGTTTTACGGTCAATATTCTGTGATTATATGTGAATAATTCACTGTGATTTCCAAGGCAGACACAACAGTGCGTCTTTATAATTTTGGTACAATATTTTCTTTTTTTGTAGGTTGTGCCAGAAGGTTTGAGAGGTATTTTGAATTGGATTCGAACAAGTTACAACAATGTGCCTGTATTTATCACTGAAAATGGTTATTGCGACCTTGGGCAGCTGGCTGACGATGACCGTGTTCACTACCATGAAGTATGCCTTGAATTACTCCCTATTTAAAAAATGATTTTCTTTTCCATAGGTTACAGTGCAAAATTCAGTGGTAGAAAAATATGGAAATTCATCAATGGTAGTACAAAAGAGCTCGAATTAGCAACTTAGTTCTCTCGGTGCTATTCGAGAATGTTACTCTTTTCACCTGCTATCTAATTTTTTTGTACGGAACTTCGATTGTAAAAGTGTGAAATCAAGTATTTCCATCGTGATGTTTCAAAATTTCTGCTCCCCTTTTATTTTTTTAAAGCAAAACAAGCCAAAATAGCTGGAAATTTAAACAGAATACCTACTCTACAAACAGAGAAGAAAAATTACGAAAGTGTTCAAAAAATTACATTTTCTCGTTTCCCATAGAATAAATGATTTATGACAAAAGGTCTGCAACGTTTCAAATGGAGGTAGGTGGTTTCTCTCTTTGGCCATCCATAATTTAAATTGAAAAATTAATCAAGAAAATCCATTCTTCTTGTTTCCATTATTCATCTCCATCGAAAAAAAAAGTCTAGTGGTACAACTTAACAAAATTAAGCACCAATCTGAAGCTTGGCTTTATTTCTTTGGAAAGTGCCTTGGTCTTTTGAAAATCTGTCTTAACTATTGCAGGCTGAATTGACCGTCAGAGATTTGATGAAAATATTTTTGAATCCTTGCAACCACATTTTTGGCAATATTTTGGGCATGACTCTCAGTTTTTCAAAATTTTTGTGCGCTGCCTGTTTTAATGAAAAGAAAAATCATGTACATATGCACTCATCTCTAATGAGTACTTTTCTGCCAAAGTGCAGAAGTAAAATCATCCCAATTAGATAATTTTTACTCTTGCCTACCTAGTATTAATCTTTGCTTCTTTTTTTTTCATATTCAGAGTTACATCGGGGCGATGTTGAAAGCAATTAAAGAAGACAAATGTAACGTAATAGGATACTGTGCTTGGTCTCTGGTAGACAACTTTGAATGGCTGGAAGGATACAGGTTAGTTCTTGCTACTTTTAAAATCTAATGATCAGTCATTTTTATTTTTTTCCTTTCCTTTGTTTTCATCACTTTCATTTTGGTCATTAGATCCTGTGTCACTAGCTTTCGGTTTGACAGTTTTTATCAATTTCCAGTTCGGCGGAGTGAAGATATGAGCTCCGTTTCATCACAATGCAAGCAGTTGTTTTTTTCAGATTGTGACCTGCTTTGACGATGAGCTTTTCGTTTTTTTCCTGTCTTTATGCGTACCTATCCTTGATCTCAGTGTGGAGCCTCTTGAACACACCCTCCGACTTGTAACTGGACCAAGATTTTCCTCTGCAATTCAAATACATATTTTACTTGAAAGTTGGAAGCAAACCCACCATCCAAGCTTTGCCGTTCTACTGTGCAAAGGAAACACGCTGTATAAACACTCGAGAGTTGCCAAATTTCTTCTGGTAAAATGTTTATTTTTGAGGAGAATTATGAATATTCCCCCTTGAAATTCTTAGATAATTTAGATCTGATTGGAAATGAAATTCTCCGACAAATTTAAGAAAAAAGTTTCACAGGTTTCTCTGAAAATGTGTATTTTATCCAAGGAAATTCGGCAACATCAGAGGTCTCATAAGGCGTTCTTCCCTTGCACGGCAGAATTGGTCTTCAGCCTGGAACTTTCCCAAACTTACTTCCTCTGATGCCCTCATATTTGTGTTATCATCATCAGACTCTTTATTGTTCCCTTAGTTCCTGCTTTTAATTTTTAAATGGTAGTTTAGTCAATATATTTGTGTTAGAGTTCAAAGACTCTTGTTTTAAAAATCCATATAAATTCATAATTTTGTTTTATACTGACATTAATAGAATTGACTATCATACCACCATGAATTTCAGTTGAACGGCTTCAAGACATTAAAAAGTGTTACAATTATTCATCATCTTTTAGTAAAGTGTTTGTTCTTCGGAAACTCAGGCATTAACATGATTTTTTTTTTACTTTCAGGCCAAGATTTGGTGTAGTTCACATTGATTTCAACGACACCGAAAGGAAAAGAACACCTAAAAAATCTGCAGAATTTTTCAAGAAACTCATTAACGATAGGAAATTAATTTGTAAGTGATTAATTTTCTTTGGTTCCAAAGGTTTGAACGATTGCCTTCACTTTAATGATTCAACCAGCTTTGTAATCGAAGGGTCCATCATAAATCAATTTCCCAGGTGCTTTCAATTTCCTCCCTACAGGCCATCAAAAATCAATTTCCTAAGTGCTTTCAAGTTTCTCCCTAATTTTTAAGATTGATAAAATCTTGATTTTATTTAGTTTTAAGGTCAAGGATCGTTAATTTTTTCCTTATACAATGCATGATTAATTTCTACTTCATGTCATTTGTATTTTTAGTCGGTATCTTTGTGCAAGCAATTTCTAAGACTGATCATGGGTATTGGTTATCTAGTTATCATTGTTGTCGGTTTTTCAGTTTCCTCGAAATTAGTTCTTCAAAATCGTTCCCTTCAAGGCAGGAGTGCAGAAAATGTCTAATCCTGTATATCCTGGCATTATACATAATTGAAGAAAATTATTTAATTATCTTCTTTCAGGGTAAATATCACAAATGCCATGCAACATTGCCAAATTTTCTTCGACATTTTAATTTTTCGTATAAAAACCATTGGAAGAGTTCGTTTTTTAATTTTGCTAAATTTTCCTCATGCTCCTCGTGAAATTTTTCAAGCTTTTCAAAGAAATTTGACCAATCTTAATAGTTCTTGGTTAAAGGTAAAATTTCAGGAGAAATTACAAAAGATTGTTCATAAATATTAATACCCTTTTAGTAGATAGAACATTTTTCGGTGAAAATTTTGAAGTAGAATGGAGATTCTTCTGTGAGTTAAAATTAGAAAATAGGTATTTTGGATAATTTTCCATCTTATTCTTTGGAAAGGAAGAATTAGCGAGTTTTTTCATCCAAATAAAGAGAACATCTTCATATTTTTTTAAGAGAATTGATCTCCTAAGAGGAGGAACTTCCTGATCATTGAGATCTTTCAAATTTCTTACCAGTTTAATGTGTATGCATGGTAAAATTAGTGATTTTTTTAAATATATACATCATTTTATACCTTTCATAAAGTATCATTCCTTAGTTTTGATGCATCGAAGCTTATATTTTTTCACAAATTTATTTTATTACTTATTATTATTTTTTTAAAATTTTTGTATTTATTTTTCTTAACATGTGATTAGTGGCTATGTCAACCCTAGGTACGAAGATAATTGTTCAATATGAATTTGTGCCTGCAATGACTGAGGAGAATTGCCCAAGGTCAAGTACCAATAAGAGAATGTTTGAAAACGATTGATTTCTGGGTCAAAATTGGAGGAAGCTGTCCGATAGAGCTGTAACAAAGTTAGTTCTGCGTCCACTGGTTTGTACTATCAGTGGATCAGAAATTCTCCCAGAGCCTACCCTCAAGTTTACTGAATATTAGTCGGAATCTCAAAATATTTTATTTTCCGTCCCCTATAAAGGGATGCAAGAAATGAACTCATGGAGCACTTTAGACCAGAAAATTGGACTACACGGGTCATTTCCAAGGGGACTGGCTTGGTTTCAGCTCAATCGGACAACTTTCGATTTTGACCCTCAAAAGTAAGTCCATGTACAATGTGCACTCCGTTCGTCTTGTCACCGCCTCTTTTCACATAAAAAGCCTGCCAAAATGAAAGATGCCTCTCTTCTTTTTAATAATTCGACATTGGTTTGCAAAACAAATTGTTCACGCCAAACAAGTTCAAACTTTAGGGGGTCGTCCATAAATTATGTTACTCAAGTAGGGGGTGGGAGGAGCCCAGCCAAGAATGACGTAAGCTTTCCCGAAGGCAAAAAAGTCGAAAATGCCAGCTTGAAATTTGACTATATCTATACTGATTTTTATCGATTTTCTGCGTTTCCCTCTAATGGACCGTTTCTGGTGTTTTTTCTCTTCGCTTTTGAATTGTTTTACCGTTGAAGTAAACTTCATGTTATTTTCTGCGAGGACTCAAAAGAGGTTGTTGGAAAAATGATTATTTTTTAACTTTACCGAGATGTGTACTCAGTGTACCAAGTAAATAAAACTGGAATGATTAAAAAATTAAAAAAAAAAAATTTATTGGTGTCAGGATGATGCCCTAATGTAATTGGAGGAAAGCAAGGAAAATAAGCCAAGATGATTGGAATAAACACATTTTCTGAGCTTACTTTAGAAAATAGTCTTTATTATTACAGAATTCGTTTTGGAAAGATAAAAGAATGAGATTGCATATGCATTGGCTGAATAAACAGCAGGCAAAAATTTGTAACCAGTGAGATAAATCTTGAATTTTACATAATGGACCTGATGCCAGAATAGTAAGAATATGCTCACAGTCTGGCATAGGTAGTTTTCAATTCTAAAAATGTATGCAGTAAAATGAGTTGGGCTTATAATTGAAGTGGAAACAGCCGATCCTTATGGACTGAGATCCAATCTTCAAGCTGAATTGCAAGCTGCTGATTCAAAACACTGGTTACATTAATCACCTTTTAGAAGAGCTTCAAAACGCTAACAACAGTACTTATAAAATGAACTTTCGAAGAGTTATGATTGAGAAATTACGATAAATTTGGCCATTCGGTTCAAACGTTGAAATGCGTTTAGTGTAGGAAAAATACCGGTGAACTGAAAATGTAAGTAAGAAATTCGCTACTGTGCAAAATAGATAAATATTTATAAACTTTTAAAATAGCTATCACCTCACATGGTCCCGTAAAGATAAATTAAAAATAAGTTGAAAATAGCCGAAAAGAAACTGGCACATGCAAGGACAAGGAAACATGATCATTGACGATGAAGGTTCTTAAACTTACCCAAAATATGAGAGCCAGAGAGTTAAATAAATAATTTCTGGGACGTTGCAAACAAAATTAAATCAAGGGACCCTACTGGAAAGAAATATCTGAGCCTCTTTCGTATTGACTTCTAAAATTAGTGAAGAAACTTTCTATCAAAGGTCATATCTGTGAAAACATTTCAGATTTAAATTTAAATTAACTTCTTACAATTAAATCTTGCAGAAGGGAGGCTCAGAGCTAATAAAAAACTTGTGCAAATCTACAATGGCTTTCATTGACAAGTTGAAAAAAAATTTGGATTTTACTACGCAGAACAGACATACAAGAAAATGCTTTAAGAGATACGCTTTCTTTTAGGGCTCCCTCTATTAACAGTTACGTTTTCTAAAATGGCGTCCTTCCATTAGGATCGTTTTACAAGGTTAAGGGGCTTCTTGAATACAAGTAAAGATTTTTTTTTAATTTATTGCTGTGTTGCTGTCTCAGGTCCCCACCTTTTTTCAAATTTATACCTGAGCTTACTTTTAGATTCTAAGTAAAAATTTTTTCTTTCGTTTCTTTCTCAACTCATTCTCGGTGAAGTTGGGTGACAATAATATAAGGAAAGCAAAAAACAAATCAATTATAACATGACTGGGCAGCATTCCAAGTACTCAGAATTTAAGTTCAGAATCAGAATCTTGAAGGAAATACGAAGAGATGAAGTATGATAGGGTATACATAGTTACATTGTCAGGCAATTAAATGGGAAACACATAGGTAATGAAGTTCCTAATGGTAAAATGTTAAACCGACACAACGTAAGCAGATCCTATTGATAATTTTTTATTTATTTGAGCTTAACTAATTTTTATGCAAAAAAGTGATCGTTTGTGATACATAATCTCGAGTATAAAATGTTTGATAAGGGTAGAGTATCAAGTTCTCAATCAGATCCTAGTGGAGAAACAAAAAGTGTATACAAACAGCGGAGGACAATGGTTCGGCCTGAAACTTTAGGGGCTGGCGCTTATTTTGTGGTATGATGATAAAGACTGTCAGAGATGACAAATTTAAGGAGACAAAGCAGATGGAGCTTAGAGGAAAGTTTGCCACTTTTTTCAAGTATGATGGCAATGAGAGGTGATAGGTTTGTCTCTCTCCGATAAAGGCTTCTTCCTATTCTCAATCTTACACCAAATTTTGGCCACACCATTTTGGGGAACTCTTTGAGGTCAGTTCCATTGAACACGCTAAAAATATAAGAAGAAACTAGTTTGGTGATACATTTGTAGTGCTTTTGGGAACAATTGGATAGTAAATTAATCAATCAATAATTCATGGGTATCCAGACCATACAGCATTGAAAAATCACTGGAAGTGGTACAAAACTGTAGTTTGTAAAGTTTTAAAATACAAAATTGAAAATATTTTGAAATAGCGTAGGTCCTCCGTAAGTACCTGCTGCAATGCGTTCGGTCTTTCAATTTGCGGTATTTACACGCAAGAGTAAATACTGAGTTAGGTATTACTTATTTCCTTCTCCAGAGTTAGGTATTTTAAAGTATTTTTCGGTAAAGTTTTAGAAATGAATATCTGAGACATTATACAGTCATATATGACATTCAAAGATTTATGAACACATCAAACTTCAGACGTGATCAATTGATCCATCAGCTGTTATAGCTATCAAATTATTCTTGAAGGAGTCATACAACCACCTAAACAAAGATAGGTCCTTAATTGTGCTTAGGATAACTTACAACAAACATTTAAACTCTCACAAATTAAAGCAAACAATGGCACTCTGTAGATAGATCATAATCACAAAAGATCCGATAAATAACGCTGTAATACCTTGCCTCAGTAACTTAATAGCAGATTTTCAGGTTTCTTCAGTTTTTTTTTACGATTTTGATGCCCTTGACTTTTTCTTTAGGAAGTGGCAGCGAAATTTATTCGCAGGTTTGTGAAGAAAAAATAAGTTTATTGATTGATTATGATTAGGGACTTGGCAATAATTCTTGACACATCACATCATATTAACAAATTTTGTTTTTACCATCACACTTTTGAGTGACACACTCTTTTTAATACAGCTTTGCTCTAGTATAGTTGCCCAAGTAGCAAAGTTTGATAACAATATTGAAATGAAGTTGCAATTTCATTTTTTCATCGTGAGACTGCAATACCTTTACTTACATCATTTGATCAATAAATCGACAGTGTAAGTCGGCAATCACATAACTCGGTTTACGATGTCGCAGACTTCCTGTCATATTTCATTTTTTAAACTGAAAACTACTCAACGGCAATTCTTTAAAACTGCCTTGATTTTTCTTCTCTGTGCGAAGAAAATTCTGCTTAAACTTACAGAAATGATGTCAATTTTTCCTCCTTTATAAAAATAACATAGAGGCAGAGAGTTTCAGACAGCGCAAACGAGACATGTGATTGCGGACGTACGCAGTCGAAATGCTGATTTTAAACGATGAATTAAAGAGCTCCATGTGTGAGACAGACAGGAATGTAAAGAAAAATTGCAATGCATTCAATTTTATTGGAAAACATTTTAGTGAGAGGAGCCCCCGTATGTAGTAGATAGGCAATGCGCTACACCCAGATGCTGAAATCGTAAATTATTGCAGGCTATGCTACTCAGGTATCGGCAGCAGATATCGCGAGGACAGTTGAACTTTCTTAATGATGTGAAGTATAAAGAGAGCAAAACACAAGATGCTGAGAACACAGCGTAAGAAGTTGAATAGCTTCCTAATAACTCATTTTTTATACTTACCAAATTTTTCTGTCCATTAAATCAAAGTTCATAGGTAATAGAAGTAAAATCTTCCATTTCAAAAGTGGCCACAAAGAGAGGAGAGTGTGTTCCGTTACATGAATTATCTCATAATCAACTTGAGGCAGAGATACAGTCCTCTCTAAAACAACGCAATAAACTTGGGTGATATTTTTGATTGTGGACGATAAAATTCTGTCCCGCTAAATTATTGCCCGGTCATCAGTGGCATTAAAACACAACTTTCAAGAAAGATTCTCAATAATTATTTTAACCATTGGTAAGTACTTGCAAAATATTTCGCTGCTATGTATTCTTCACTCTTGAGTCATAATTTATGAGCAGCTTTTCAACCTCTAACAACATTACTAAAGATTTAACGACTACAAAACTAATAACAGTTAAAAATAAACTTCTAATAAAATTTCTAACAAAAAGAGGTAAAAACCAAATGGAAAAGGAGGGAAAAAATTAATAAGTTGCAAGTAAGAAAAAACATGTTGTACATTATTTACATTTAAAATACTGATATTAACTTTTTGGATAAATTAGACTTACTATTAATTACAATTTGCAGTCTTATCACGATTTACATCAGACAATTCTGACGGCTAATCCTACTCATTACTTAATCAGTGGCTACTATTACAGCATGATTCCGATTAAAAAATTCATCAGGTTTTGTTTTTTTACTTTAATTGTTCTTTTTTTTCGTCTCATTTTTGTCATTTTAGAGGAGCAGAGGGCAATACAATTATAAAGATGGAAACTAACAGTTGTTGATAAAATTGCAAACTATAGGAAATTTTGTTGACAAAATGTCTTACTGGCCATTACATTGGTGTCACGTTGCGGTTTGAGGGTTGGTTAGGGTTGAAATAAACCTTCCGCTATGTATGAGAAATAGAGTTAATTGTGTATTAGCGATCAGCTCCCTTTCACGTCTACTTAGTATCAGGTTTTTTTCAAAGTCTTACTCAATCTATTAACCCTTGTTACACAATCGTAACAATACATTTTTTGGTTTTGCAAATATCAAACTATTCCTGTGTGGAAAGATGTTTTCTTTATGTTGAAATGTACATTTGTTCTCATACCATCACAAATTTGGATATATAAAAGCCCGTTCTCAAGTTACTTTTCATTAGTGCTACCATTTAAAAACTTAAAATGATCCACCCGCATTTTTATTAAATGTAAAACTTGACAAAAGTTTCAAGATTTCTTACTAAGAAAACATACTTGACTATCTGCCAAGACTTCAGAAAAAATTCAAATATGGACGTTGTATCACACTCTCATTTAATGCAAAAAGTTAGATTTGGAAAAAACTCTCTTTATTGAGACAAAAAACAAAATATGGTTATTCTGTCTGACCTTGCAAGCCAATGAAAATTTCTGTAATCATGTAAACTAGACGTGTAGTATTAAAGAGGGTACGAAGTTTTGAACAATTGAAGAATTGGAATTCAACATATTTTTTCCTTCAATCACAATTTCACACAGGAAATTTCTCCTTTCAATCTTAATTTTAGGGGAAGCAGGTATAATATTCTTGAGCCCCATCATTTAAGCCAAAAAAAGAAAAAGTTACACAAGGATAGCAAAATCTGATTGCACTCCAAATGTTTTGAAAATGCTCTCTTCATTTGGAAAAGAACAGAAAGTGCGATTCATTCCTCGGGTGTCATCATTTGATTGAAGATAAACTCAGAGCCGTGTCGCTATTTTTTGATCTCTTGAAGATGGGTGCATTAGTTAATTTTACCTTGTACGGAACTGAATATTTTCAGCTCCAGAAAAGTTTTCCCGGTTTATAATAACATAATATTTACGTAAGCTGTGGCAAACTGAATGGATAGAGAGTCGACAGGAAAGCTCAAAACAGGGGTCAAAAATTTATGAGGAGTGCGGAAACAAGCCCAATTAAGTATGATCGGGACATTCGTTGCGTCATTTTGTGGTGATCAAAAACTGAATATGGCAAGTGCATGGATTGTAAAATTGCACAAGTTGTTGCGGCAATTTTGCCCTGTTTTTCACAAATAAATTAAAATTCATACTCACGGAAGCATTTCCCAGGTAGACGACTGACACAAATGTTTTGATAGTAAAAGCTTTCAGTTTTGTAAGGATACATGTTTATGTACGATTTTTCACTTTTATCACCTTGACTTACAGTGTAAATATTGCTCAAACAGGAAACGTTTTGTAAATCAAGAAAGATCCCTCATCTGGCAACTGACGAAAAGTATGTTACTGAGACGCTGCAAAAATAGTTGCCTATTATTCGGCAGTTACGCGACAACGTTTTTGCACCCACTTTTGCTGAGCAGATCAACATGCTTTATGCACAAAAAGAGAAAAATATGGCTGGAATAACTTGATCGTTTGCGTTTGAAAAATGTATAAGAGCTTTAAACGTACCATTCCAAAGTTGAGAACAAAAAGGATCAAATGAGGAGGAGAAAAGCAAATTTGAAGGCAAGTTGACACTGATTGAAGTTCTTCTTTAAAATTCGTATTTAAGTGTAGAAATTGATCAAAGTTATCAAATCAACACCTTTCCGTTATTCTCAGATTTGAAAGAAGGATTAACTACAAAATTGGAGTTGATCATTGAAACGTATTTAATGTTTTTGGGACTTACCAGTCTATGGAATATATTTCCAGACTGATAAAATTTCCTACACCCAATCAGTGAGATTTTTCAAAAACACACTGGGAATTGCTTCCGAAAGAATCAAGTCTCTTCCAAGAGTTAAGTGGTGAGACGTAGGCAACAATTTAGACGTAATCTAGCACACGCAGATAATATAAAACCAATAAGAAAGGGGAGATGGGTAGCATACTCTGGGTATCCCACGCTTTTAAGACTGGTATTAGATTGAGATTTGAGATTAATGTTACTTAAGGTATAGGTACTTATAGTTAAGAGTGGTGTTCACATTTCAGTTGAGGAGGGAGATTTGCTTAACAAGGGGTCGCTACTCGATTCTTTTACATCCACTTTCGATGCTTCAGCGGCAGCTCTCTGTTCTGCATCTGAAATAAAAAATCCATAAGTTAAAGAGAGTTCGTAATGAGCTGGAGAGTAACAGCCATAAAACTTTATGAAAATTTCAATTTTTGCAAAATCCTGAATTCAGTATGTGCCATCTTTAGCAGTGGCATAACAGCACAGGCACATTTTGACAGTGAAACTGCAAAAATACGTATCTGGGTTTGCATCAACATCGTGATGCAAACCAGTCTGTGCACAGAATTTCTGTCACAATTTATTTTTTAAATGAGAAAATACACAACGTTATTTTTATGACACAACCCTAATTTTTCTTCTCTGCGTGAAGACTACTCTGTGAAAATTTCGAGCAGTAGTTTTGATTCGTTTTTGTGTAATAAAGTGAAATGGGAGAAGATTTTGAAACACCGCAAATGAGATACACGTTTTTGCAGTTTCAGCGTCCATTTGCTGATAATCTCTTTCATTAACCTTTTATAAACCAAGAAAATCTGCAATTGTAGACAACAAGATTCAATTTTTTCATGGAATCTTTTTTCTTAAAAATGTGTTGATGTATCATGATTTATGGTTTATTATGGTTTTCTTAAAAAAATTCGATGGTGAAAATTGTGATTAGGATAAAAACTAAAGAAATATCCAGGAGAGAAAGGCATTACTAGTGAGACGAACCTTTTGCTGCCTGATCTTTCCACCGACGCTTATTTTCAGCAAGGCATTCAATCCACGGTTTATGAATTTGGAACTTTTTCTTTGGTTCATCACAATTTGTTTCTGAGGACGAAAACATGCAAACTGTAAAAAGAAAGTAAACAAAGTTGGTTTTGAGCTCCATTTATGAGAAATATTTGCTATGAACGAATATGGTACAACTGGATCTTAAAGTGATAACTAGTGCTTAGAGCGAGAGCGTTTTAAGTAAATGAGAGTGGAAGTGGGAAAAAAGTGTGGGGCAAACTAGTTTTCTGTCATCACTATGAGTGATGCTTAGAGTTTATGCAGCTGACACCAAAGTATTCTTTTAAGCTGATGTCAGCTGACAAAAAAATGATAACGAACAAAGTGACAGCAAAGTGACCATGACTGCATGGAAACTTCAGGGTTTTTTTTTTTCAGCCATAGTTCAAATATTTTAAATTATTCACCAAAGTTTGTCCTCTATTTCATGTGTTTCTTAGTGCTGTAGGACAACACATGTAACAACTTATCAGCGAAGGTGCAACAAGTTATGGGCGTGCGTACTTTTTTTATTAACTTCTTCAATAAAATTTTGAGCATTTATCATTAATTTTTTTATTCTTCATCTCCTTTCCTAGTTTGAAAAGACGCCTTCGGATATTGATAGGATACAGTCCTTAGATGAACCCCAACTCCATTCAGACGAACTCACAAGGGGTCTGCAAAGCAGACTTGCAATACCTAAACCCCAGAGCAAGGGTTGGGCTGCGTAGCGGTCAAGGGATGTAGCCCCCTAGGAAATAAAAACTGAAAAAAGATAGGTACCTATGTGTACTGTAAATAATTCTAAGATCTAATGAATTATGTTACCATTCTTCAGTTTCTGCCGTATCGACTCATCAGGAGTATCTTCTGACATTGAATTTCTAAGAGGAGGCTCTGGTGGTGAGGCTGATATGGGTCCTAAAATATTTTCTAGCATATCACTACATACCGCCATGCTCGGTTCGACGATAAATTCAATAAAACCTGCAATTAAATAAGATTTTGTAAAATACAGTCAATTAGGTACATGGATTGTAATACTAAGCAAGCCTGGCATCTTTGAGGGAGGATGGAAAACAAAGTTAGGAAGTTGATGACTTGGGAAATATTTAAATGTAAATTGTGTCTTACATTCGTTCTTTTTCCCTTCCAACGCTCCAGAAAAGTCATTAGTGCTTCTATATTTGTTAAATAATGCACAAAAATTTTGAAAAAAGGACCATTACTGCCAAGATGACTAAAAATTCAGACTTTAATGCATGAGGAAATTTTTTTACAAATTTGGCCACAAAATACGCCAACATTGAGCAAGATTTAGGACAGTTCGAAGTTTGCAGTTCAAAACACATCATTTCGAGAAAAAGCCTGATCAAATTTTTTACATGATCAGGATTGAAAACATTATCTGAGAAGGATAAAACTCTCACCTATTTGTGACTCTGCGACTAATGTATTATTTCTATCACAAAGAGGACTGAAAGGCAGTCCGAGCTCGCGCTCCTTATCACCCTGCTGAAAGAATTCCTCAAGGAGCAGCATTGTCCATCTATTATGGAGATGCCATTTCTTACCCGGGTGCGAGATATCACAACAGTGGAGGACTAACGATAATGCTTTTGATTTGTCGATGCTGCAATAAAACACGAGACAGTATTATGGTTAACAATTTTTTTATTAACATACATCGTAAACAAAATTTTTCCTCAAATTTTACTATTTTCAAGACAATTCTGCGTCTTTTTTTTGGTGGGAAGGGGGGGGGGGTGCCGCACCAGGTAGTTTTACAACTTTCAAGGAAACACCCAGATTCATAGAAACATTTTGCCTAACCATATGTGTCCGAATAAAACTGATATTCAAGGTTTTCAATATAGTATTTAAATACCAGACCAAAGTCAAAGATCCGAAGCCATATTTGAGAGAATTATTTTGTTCATTCTTTCTTTCAATCGATTTTACTACCACATGCTAATACTTGTTCTTAGCAGTTAACTCGTACCGAACAATGAAAATGAACGAGCCGTCCATACATTCTTAAAATGTAAAAGTCAAGAGTGGTAATTGACAGTTTATTCAAATCAAAGTTGTGCATGTTTCATCGGGCTGAAAAATTTAGGAGTTAAAAATAAGCCTATCATATGGAATGACTATCTTAATAAGCATCTGAACATTTTGTTTTCGAACCAATGGTCTATCACATCTGATAGATTTTAAAACATTTTTAAAATTTTAATTGTATTTTGCTGAGGACTTATTTTTCTTTTTACCACACTCACCTAGGTTCTGCTAAGGTCAGAAGATTTCTCATGTTTTTCAATTGCTGAAAATGAAAGCTCATGTCCGTTGCCAAAACCATATCGATCACTAGCGATCGGAGCTCCCTGAACTCCTCTCTAGATAAATTTACTAAAATATTACAATCGTCTTCTTTCAAAACTCTGAAACACAGCAAATTTCAAACTTTAGAACGTCGGTGCGCATACAATCAGAAAAGTTTCGAAGAATGATTTTCATAAGCAACTTGTGTTCAATTTCAAACGCAATGCCATATCGCATACACAAGGAAATATGCAAAAATAAAAATTTCCACCGAGACAATGAATGAAGCTGAGAATATGAGGCTCATCGTAAATTCAATTTTTTAATCATCCTTTCAACACTTTTCTCTTGCAAGGAAATCCGGCAACATGAGTGTGATCCACTGGTGCTCGTGAAAAGCATGTGTCTCAGAAGTAAAAGCAGCGACACTGGAAGGACTGAGGAAAAAACAAGTTTCATCGCAAATTTTTTGATGGATTTTCAAAATCTTTGGCCTCTTTGGAAGCTCAGAGTCTGCATAATAAGTACATATCTTCTTACAGGTTTGATTGAAATTCGGAATTCCTACAATTTGGAATTCTTACAATTTGGAAGGAATAAAATAAAAAAAAAAAAAAACCTTTTTTTTTTTGGATGAACTTCACATCGATGACCAAAGTGTGAAACCGAGTAAATCCATTTTTGACCTACTTGAATTCCTGTTATACTTTTTTTTCCTTTGAAAAACAAGTCAACGTGATTTCTTGAAAACCTCTTTGATTTTTTTTCTCTGCAGCAGAATGTTCTGTATGAATTTCAAGCTATGAAGTTGGCTTGTTTCTCTTTAAAGAATTGAACAGGCGCGAAAATTTTTAAGCAACCCAATGCTACGTGCAAAATATACGTGCTTTTGCACTTTGGATATAGACATGTAATTTATGTGCTAAAAAGTCGGAAGTGTTCATATGGAGAGGTGAGGGGTAAAAGTCAATTTTGCATCACCTCATTCTAACACATTCAACTATCATTACTCAATTCTACAGACTAAAATTTCTGAAACAAATGAAGGTTTCCTTCTACTGAGATGCTCTTTTATCCCTTAAAATATGCATTCAAATCATAAAATTGGTACCATTTCTTTCTTTGTGGAGACGAAAAAAATGATATAAAAAGTAAGAAACGAACATAATGAAATGAACTAACCTGAATGAGGCACTAACGTGATGATTTTCCAGGACTGCCCTGTCATTGTACAACAATGCCATTTCCGTTCCTGACATTACATGGAAATTATTGGTTGTACCTGTATGCTCATAATCGTGAATTATTGCTGCAATTAAGGTCGCGAAAATTTCTAAATCTGAAAGCCAATTCTGTAAACCAGAAGAAAAGCATACACATGTAATGATTGAATGTACTTAAAAAAATAGTAAGGATAAGCTGTTGCGTACCTTGTAATTTTAATGAAAAAAAATATATATAATGGACTGTAGTCAATATCAAAAAATTAAAGATTTTTTCAAAACATGTATTATGTTTAGTGATTAGATTTCGCACATTTTTTTTTTCCGGTTGGAGTAAAAAAAAAAGTTCATCAAAAATGTGTGTGCTCAGATGTGAGACAATTCATTCAACTCTTGTGGCAAAGAAGAAATTACACAGAGGATCGAGCTATCACTAGCAAATTAGACAAAAATATGGGTGGGTAAAGATTGTATTTGAAAAAAATGAAAAAATGCATCTTATGTCTTAAGACGACCAATTTTGCAAATTTTCTAATTAAAGAATTTTGCCGTGTGCCTAAAATTTTACGAACTCACAGTATTACTCATTTCGATCATTGATTAAAGATTCAGAAAAGCAAGAGAGGCATACCATTAGTCCAGTTTGACACAACATATAGTGTATACTTTGAGCAACGTCAGCTGCATGGAGATTATTGTGATAAGGATTTTTGTATCTACAATAGCCCTCTTCAATTTTGGCGAGTAGGTTTTCTAAAGCTGCTGGAGGGACCTGCAAAATAAGAAAAAAAATTGGTAATATAAATTATACATATCGTACATAGCAAAGAGAAACGTTGGCTATTGAAATTATATTGTTGAATAGAGTAAGTTTATAGACTAAGTTTATAGACAAATGAGGACACTAGTGATTACCTCTTAATCGTATCACTTTACAGCCCTAAAATTGTTTGAATGGGTCAAATAATTAAAAGATGCTTGAATGATGACTATGAGCATTTTTCTTGTGCAGAATCCAGGTAAAACTTTCACTCAATGTTAACTCGTTAGAATTTGTTTTTCCAGGACAAATTTTCAGAAATTGAGCACGAAATAGATAAAAACAGAGGTAAATTTTGGAATCAGCGTAAAAAAATGCACCAATAATTTCAAATTCCTTCGAAATGGTGTACTTCATGTATACAAAAAAAATTGCTCAAAATAAAAAGCCTTATTTTTTTTATGAAAAATGGAACACATTTCTATCTCCAATCCACCTGAATTACCTACAGCATTGATCTTGCAAAATTCCAAAAGAATACAACTATTTACGAAGACATACTTAATTTGTACAGGAATAGGCCAGGCCACATTTTAGATAAACATAATTTGGAAGAGGTTCTGATAACTCAACTAAGTAGTCATAAATGTTCTCTTGTCATAAATTCAAAGTCGAGAAAAAGTACAAATATTCTGAAAAAAAAAAAGTTAGAAAATAAAAAAAAAAGTTAAGTAACATATGATTTCCTCAACAAGAAGTTTGAAAATCTGCCCCTCGAGAAGATTATAATTACAAATAAAACATGTTATTGAGTTATTTTAGTTTTGTTGAATTATTATTAAGTTAGAAAACAATATTATTAAGTCAGTCCAAACCAAAAACGTAGTTACTCTATACTCTAGATTTTTTTCCTGACAAATTTTGATGAACCATTAAATTTAGAGGATCATTAACGTTTCACCTTGTAACCAACCAAAATAAGTAGAGAAACAACGTCAATCAACCATAAATATGCAGGCTCAACCACTCAACAACGCGCCATCACTGTAACGTGAGGATGCGACTTTCTCTAAGGCGCTACATACAACTATTCGTACGCGATGGATGTGCGTGTTGCATACGCATTTAATTGGAGGCGTTTTAACTTCCGTTGCGTTCGCAACGCAACAGTGACCCTAAGTCGGCTCCTGTTTGATCGATTTTCGTGAAACTCGGTTTCCGGATGTATTCTTCAACGGGAAACTCGAATTTCGGTCAGATTTTCAAAATTTCAAAATCCAAGATGGCGGCCGTGGCCTAAAATGCTAAGTCTGCTCCTGTCTGATCAATTTTCGTGAAACTCGTTATCCGTATGTATTTTTTAATGGGAAAAGTTTAGTTAGAAATAAGTTCTGAAAAAAGTTTTAAAACTTATTAGTTATAAACACTGAATCTAAAGCCACAAAACTTCGAAACTCTTCATCTGAGCTCAAACTTAATGCTACTTTGTGCATTTCTTTCAAGTTTGGTCTATTTAATTTTTATTTGGAATTCTATACGCTATGATGGAATCTTGTACCAGAGCACTTGAACTAAAGAAAAATAATATAACCTGGCCTAATTTTGTTTTGTGGCCTTTAGACATTTCAGCACTGCACTGTTTCCTACAATTTGGCAGTAGTTGGGCCTTTATCCAAAACTTGTAAGTTTCCTTAGAGGCAGATAATGTAAAGCAGAGAGGTATGGGCACTTGGGCAGTGCATAACCATAGTCAAATTTAAGCCTAACGCCTCTACCTTAATTCCTTTTTTTTATGACTCATTCACAATTCCTGTCTCTTTGAAAACTCGTGAAAAATCTTAGTGACTGATATTCCACGAAACATAATTTAAGCATTTTATTAAAGTCTGGCTCACCTTAAATTTATGAAAAATTCCATATCGATTTAAAAGATCGTATCCTAAGTATTTTATCGGCTGATTGTTACCAGATTCGCTAAGGCCAAAAATGTCGAACGACCAATCATCTATTGTCTGTAACAAAATAAAAAAACAAAAACCAAAATGCATTAGTACAAACAGAAAGTAGAAGTTGAGTATGAAAACACAAATAACATTGATTGGCAGGTTCCTGGTTCGCATTCGTGGTACGAAACAAGACTTGGTTGTATCAATTTTCAGACTGGGTCACGGATTGAGTCATATTTTGATATAGTTTGAACTTACCCTAGCAATAACCAAAGATAAAAATACCCAGCTAACAGCAGACACAATTACCAGATTACGTTAGTAATAGAATGTTAATTTGATAGTATGAAACTTTACATAAATTGACTTAAAATAGTGAAATCCACCCAAACACCACGGCTTTAGGTTTAGTATTGAAGGAGACATCGCTACAAATCAAGAGAGCGTTTTAGCCAAGATTTTTCTCACCCACCGAGTTATCCATCAAAATGGGGAAATTAAGCGAGCAATAATGGGCCACTAAACCTTGCGTTTTTTATTTAATATTCTGAAAGTACCAGCAGGGCCGGATTTATACCTTCTTGCGACGAAACTTTGAAAATTAAGTTCCGTAAACTTATCTCTATGTGGACAAGGCTTTCCATTTCTAAGAAATGAACGAAAAAATGATGAAAGAACAAACATAAATGTGGTTTAATAATTTTAACTTCCGCCGCCGCGCCGCGCTCACCGCAGTGTGTTTGACGCAATGCGTGAAGTATTCATGCACTCTTGTAGGCGCTAATATGTGTTACATGCCGACCGCTGCGCCGAGGGCTTCTCCTTTCATCTCAAGTCCTCGTCATCATTGCTCTCTGCACCGCGCCGCTCCAGGCCAAATTGCGTGTTCGGTTTCTCTCTTAACTCGACTAATTAAAGATACTGTCTCCAGAAAACTGTGTCCAAGAAATTTGCCGCCATAGGCCGCGGCTCATGTGGCCGATCCCTAAATCAGGCCCTGATTACCGGGTAAGTAGATTACTTAGTGATTTATTGCGTATTTTTGGAACCGAAATCCCGGACAAGCCGGCTTTTAAAAAGTCCAAAGACTCTGTGGAATATGAAACGTGCCGGAAGGGTGGTAAGATGATGAAAGACTTGTACTACGGCAGTCAAAATAATCGCCATCTTCTCTCATTTTCTACTGATGTTCTTTAAATTAAACGTATTTCAATGTAAAATTGTTCCTTGTTTGGTTTAAGGACGGATACCATGAATTAAATCCGATTTTTTGATTCTAAAGATACAGTTTCAGCTTTCTTGTTGTTTTAATAGACCAGTATTAATGAGACACTTGACGGAAGTCGTAGAACTCCAGGCTCGCCTCTGATTGGTGCCGGATGACATCATTGGGTTCGGCGCGAAATTGAGGCGTTCTCCATTCGCGAAAAAGTTGCGCTCTATAAACAGTGCGTTTCTCGGTTTATTTATGTGCGCATCGTGTTCTGCGCGTCATTTACCTTTGGAAAAATGTGCCGGCCAGTCAAAATTCATTCCTTGTAAAGTGGTTAAATAGTCGAACTCTAGAGTAGGTATGTGATGTGGTATCAAGCAAAATCGAAGGAAAATCTTAGCTTTTCACTTGTCTAAAATTACTGACTCATTTGAATCTAGGAATTATGCTCGCCGCGTGAATACGGTACTCGTGTGTGGCGTGGTATCTCGCAGAAAAGAAGGAAAATCTTAGCCCATCATCTGGCTTAAAATAACTGAGGTTCATGAATATCTGCTTTATCCTTGCATCGCTAAATAAACGCAAATATCAAATGCTGGACTATTGAAACTGCGAAGTATGTTTGTAATGTGGTATCACGCGAAATCGAAGGCATAATCTTCGCGTATCACTTTTCATCAAATAACTGATGTTTATGAAAATAGGCTTTATCCTCGCATCGTTAAATTAAAGCCTGCGAAAATATTGAAACTACGGAGTAAGTGTGTGATAAGGTATCACGCAAAATCGAAGGAAAATCTTAGGTTTTCACCTGTGTCAAATTACTAACGTTAATTGACGCAGGCCTTGTGTTCGCATCGTTTAATGTGGAAATAGAGCGCGAAATTATTATTATTGCCACCGGAATTTTTTGCAATTGAATGTTTGCCAGGTGGTGAAATAGGTATAATTTATTTAGAAATGGTTCTCGGCCAAGCTATGTTGTTTTAAACGTCAATCCCATTCTAAAAAGCAAGTAATGGTGACTTAACAATATTTCCCTAACATTTCCAGGTTCCAATGACTAATTAAAATTCCCTGACAATTCCCGGTTCTCCCGATATTCCCTGACTGTGGCAATCCTGAACTATTCGGATTACGGAGTAGGTTTGTGATGTAGTTACACATGTATATGGAAAGATATAATTTTCACTTTCCACCTGTCTCAAATCATCATTGTTCGTGAATGTAGGCATGATGCTTAATCGCATCATTTAGTGATGCGTAGAACTATTAAAGAGAGAGTGGGTAGCTCTTATCCCCCTCAATCAATAAGATCCACCCGCTTGTACTAATAGGCTGGCTCCATTTTCCCTTTGTATTCTTTGCCAATTGCTTCGTCCATCAATTCAATAGTTAGCCCGCAGCTACTTATACATGCATTATCTAAATTATTGTTCTTCTTATTCTTGGAGGATCCCCGTGGCTAATCTAAACTCATGTCATTTTTACTCGTTTAATTTGTCCACACACGCCATCAAAATCATGATATTCCAGCCCGATGGAATCATCATCATGAAAGGAGCGGAGAGGGGGTGGCAAGGAGAGAAGAAGAAGAATAAGGGGAAGGAGGAGGGCTCCAGGTTTTAGTGTCATGTTTCCCCCAGAGAGAGCGATGCACCAACAGCGACCGTTTAATTTTGTCGTCTGAAATGCTAGCTCCTCCCTGTAGATGGAGCTGTCTGTTACGCAGAGGGGCGTGCTTCACTTTACGTCAAGGGTCCTCATACCTAGAGTCCCTTTATACTGAGAGTCAAGACAATGTGAATCCATTTCTGATTGGTTTCCGTATTTTAGGCCTTCACAGTGTCACAAACGGGAATAAAGATTACACTTTCACCAACTGCAAAGATTTATAATCTGGAATGGACCGAGGAATTGCGGGTTCGGCAAGGAACAAACAGAATGAGAGAAGGAATGGAGAAAGGAATTTGAGAATGGGCCGATCAAAGATTACGAAAAACGTTCAATTTCTGTAATCTTTATTCCCGTTTGTGACTCCATGAGGGGGTGTTGTCTTGACTCTCAATATAAAGGGACTCAACTCATACCGTGCAAAATCATAGACACTGACGGTTTGAATTCGATTTGGATTGGCTCTAACGTTTGAATTCTCCTTCCCACTACCTGAAATTTTCCTGCCCAGAAAAGCCAATTTCGACAATTTTCAGGAAAATTTGAAATAATGCATTATTTTCAAAAACTAACTATCATCCGTTACAAAACGATTCTGTGTTTTGACGTACCTACACCTACGGTCGCGTTGTCTCTCGTGAAATATCGCTTCCAGGACTTTATGTCCACCTACCTTTCGTCCATTAAATACATGTCCACCGCTATTAATTTCCACTAAACGTTAAGTCCAGTCTTTATTAAGTCCACATGATTTAATGTCCAACCATGAATATGTCCAAAATTGTCCAAATTGTGGACATGTTATGTCCACATTTTTTTCTTCTCATTTAAATGACAGGAACCACCTCATAAATAAATGCACACTACTACTACCTTCATTCTTAAAAACATTTCATTCATGAATCAAGTCATGAAAGAGAACAGACTCTAAGAGCAGATAAAAACATATGTTCATGTGTAGACTTAAGATGAAAACCAAAGCGGGAGCCTAGGAAACGCTCCAATGCCAAATTAAACATTTTTCAGTAACAGATCAGTCAAAATTGAAAGTCCTCTTTAACTAGTTATTTCGTGCGCCTTCAATCTTGTAGGATACTGTGCATTGCCTCTGACGCGAAATAGTTACTTAAAGCGTCGCGGTGCGGCAGGCAACCAGCGTGACACGCGCATAGGCGCCTACAAACCTAACGGGATACTTCACGCGTTGCGCAATGCGTGAAGTATCCCGTTAGGTTTGTAGGCGCCAGTGCGCGTTCTGCGCTGCTAACACGCCGCTCCGCTCTGTGTTAGGCTCCAATATTTAAATTCGCGGAGTCAGTGTTTTTCAACTCATGATTTTGAAATGTTTGCACTCTCTGCATTGATTATTCCCTTTTAAACTGATGAAAAAGAAATTTGTACTACTGGAAAATATAATGTGTTTTTTGTAAATATGATAGTGGTTCCGTGTCAAATTTAATGATTTCCAAAGCATTTAAATTTATTCTTTTATGTTGTGGGCTTTTACTGTGCTGCAGCGTGGTGTAAGCGCAACTAAACGCTCAAAATTGGACGTATTTGACTCAAGGAGGTCGATGTACAAATAAGTTAAAAACAAAAAAATGCGAGCTTCTTAGTTTTTTTCCTATTTTATTCATCTTTGTATAGTTTCTTTCATCACAACTACGGCTCATTGAGATTCATATCGATGCCATTGCTTGGGAAAGGTTTTACAAATATTTACCACGTTTTAAAAATGTAAATGTTTTTAAAATGAAGTTATCAATTTCATTTAAAAAAAAAAGTGCATTTACGGCATATTTTATATCGGAAATTTCAAGGATAGAAATGAAACCAAGTATTTACCAAAGACAATTCGAAAAAATGAATCAAAAGGAGAAATTAACATTTCATTTAAAATATGAGTCACGATAACAACACCTCATTCTCTTAATTTTCTCATTTCAATAATGTCAATATAATTTTACACACGGACTAAAATATGACGTTTGAATTTGATTTTAGTGGACTTTACATTTGTGGACTTAACTTAGTGGACGTTTAAGTAATGGACTTAACAATAGTGTGGGCTTTAGAACTGTGGACGTAAAAATTGTGGACGAAAAGTCTGTGGACGTAAAAAAAGTGGACATAAAGTTTGTGTACCGAAATATCTACGAGGAGTGCTTTGCAATTTAAAGGGATTGTCTTTAGTGAAAGAAACCCGACAATGTCTTAGATTTTGCCTAATATTAGCTAAGGCTCCCAATGGATTCGTTGCTTATACAATGATATTGATGGCAAAGTCAAATGAAGGTATCGTTCCAAACTTCAAACTATCTCTTCTTGCTTTTTGCTCATCTTCCCTTCTTTTTATTAAGATCTTCATTTTTCTCTCCTATCAATTCATTGTCTCTGTTATGATGACACCTGGTGTTGCTGCTTCTCATGCGCAACCCTTAATTCGGTCCTTGATTTAGTTGCAACTCATCGTGATCATTACTACTTGCGCACACAGTTGTTTTTACAGCGGTTTTTCATGAAATTTCGCTGGGAAAGACTTTCTGATATTCTGCAAAAATGTTATGCCAATGATCCATCGCTAATGCGGAAATGTAGAATCCCCGATAGTAAAGGTTTCCATATTTGTCGCCGGAAGGAAATGGGAGGATTTTCCGCCGCTGCCCGCGGCGCATTACGGTCCAAAACTCAAGAATAGGAAGAAATAAGTCCGATAATGACTGAAAGATCATGGAAGTTTCGTAACTGATGTTTTTTGGAGTCGCTAATTTCGAATTTGATGTCAAATTGCCTAAATTTTAAACCCCATGACCTAGAGACTGTGGGCAAGTTTATGGCACGCTGCGGCGCGGCGCGGCGTGCTGCCTGCTCGAAACGCGCACTGACACCTACAAACCTAAGAGGATACTTCAAGCATTGCGCAATGCGTGAAGTAGCCCTTTAGGTTTGTAGGCGTCAGTGCGCGTTACGTGCTGGCAGCACACCTGCACTCCGCGGCTCTCCCGCCAGGCGAATGGTGACCGATTTTTTGCGGGGAGAGCTCCCTGGCGGAGAAATTCATATATCGTGTAATTTTTATTTTTTTTTTTAGTTTTTGACTTTCAATATTACACACTGGTCGTGTGAAGTAATTAGTGAACTCTCAACGCTAGATAAAGTGTAATGATGAAAGGCGAGTCGTGAGCCATACGCGCTGCGGACGGCGCTGGACGGCTCGTGAAATTCTCCCCTGTGCTCCGTCGCTAGATGACCGTTACTCTCAAATGGACTTAATCGGTTGATGACGGACCAAAAATAACCAAAAGTTGAAGAAATATGTGTGGTTAAGTGAATTTGGGCGGATGGAAATCGAAACCCCCGACTTTGTTTACACAGCCGGCGGAACAAGATGCTTAAATTGTCATATCTTCGATAAGATTCGCCAGTTTTTCTCCCGGAAGAACTACAAAAAAAAAAAAAAAAAAAAAAAAAAAAAAAAGTGAATTTGGGGAAAAATCAACCTAAAATTCTTTGTCTACGCAATTGTATTCAGTTCCCGCCCTACATTTGAATTTCAAACTTGTCCCGATCCGGCCGCCAATCCTCTAGCCAATGGGAGAGGTGGTTAAAAAGTAGCTTAATTTTTTGCTTCTAGCGCTCCGTCTTTATGTGTTTGCTATGTACTCATTGGATTTTTCTTCGTGTGAGGAGATGGAGTTAGGTTAGACTAAGTTGAGGGTGGTTACCTTGAGGACTTTGACGACCTCGAGTGGGAACTGCATGAGGGGGGCGCTGGCGACCTTCCTGTAGATGCGGTCGACGAAGATGCCGGCCCGGATGGCGTGGGCCACCGAGCGGAACTTGGGCTTCTCGTCGGCCTTGCGCCGCGTCGTGGCCAGCTGCCGCGTGAACGTCGACGCCAGCCACTCCCGCACCTCCGGCGGCACCGCGTCCGGCTGCACCTCCGACAGCTCGTCATCCTCGTCCGCCAACCGCCTGCAAACCACCAAACAACACAACAGTTAACTCCACAGATCAACACATCATCACATCACCTTCACCAGTCTCAACGCCTAATCCTAGCAAGCTAATCCAGTCTAGCCAAATTCCAACTTCTACTTCTCCAATCAAGGAAACGCTCCCGTGCTGAGGAAGAACGCCGTATGAACATCCCAGGCTTGCCAAATTTCCCCTCATAAAATGTGTATTTTTCGGGAAAGTTATGAATATTCCTCCTTGAAATTTTTAACAACCGCGCGTGAAATTGCGAGCAAAATTATCTGAAAAATTGGAAGAAAAATATTTATAAGTTTACCAGGAGATTCGTGTTCTATTAATCGAATTTCGGCAACGCCTGAAGGTTCATACGGCGTTTTTCCTCAGCGCGGCAGTACGGCAAAGTGATCCACTCAATGCTGCCGTGCTAAGGAAAAACGCCGTATCAGAATTCGAATGTTGCCAAACTTCCCTCGATAAAGTTTTTTTTTTCTTCGGAAAGTTATGAATCTTTTCCCGGAAGAGTTATTTTTTATGAGGAGTTATTTTGGGCTCATATGAGCTTTTCCCCTCTGTATTGAAATTTTCAGCTCAATTCTAATTTTTAACGCATGTCGGCTAAAAAATTCCAACTTGCTGAATATTTTTCATTGAAATAATCACGCTTTACGATGAAATTACGAACAAGACCATTTGAAAAATCGGAAGAGAAATCTTCACACATTTCCCTGAAAAGTCGCGATTTGTCGAGGGAAGTTGCAATGAAAATTTGCAAACTGGCATATTCGTGTCGTAAGACAATGGCAGTCATTGAAAGCGCAAATGATCAGAGTGCCAAAAATAATTGTCGGTAAATTATAGCTTTGAGCTAGGGCACTTGAAACACGTGTAATAGTGTGGCAGCGTCATGCCCTCTTGCAAAAAATACTGTCTTTTGAGCTCACACGGCACTACGTCTTAAGCTCAAAATATGCACATGTTTTCTATGGAAAATCAATATACAGCAAATAAAACTAATATTTTGGCAGCTGTTCTAAAATTGGAATAAAAATCCAAGAAAAGGCATTGTTCCTCACTCGGCGATATACCAATAAGCACTTGCGTTTTAACCAATGGAAATAAGTATGAATAATAATAAAGCACTAAATTAAATAAAGCACCGAGGAACTCCCTTTCGGCAAAGGAGATGTAAGTTAGCATTAATTCCGCATCCTAAAAATAGGAATCAAAAAGAGTTTTCTTCTCTTTTTACAAAAATAACAACTCTTAAATCTATAAAATTATTCTTATAGGTTAAGAGAGGGAGAAAAAGGTGACAAAATCCAACGGAAACTTTCTGGAATAAGATAAATAACAGAAATAGGCACTGAAATACGCGATTTCTACACAAAAAGCATGAAAATTTGCTTTCCTATCTCTCTTAGGTATTATTATGGATGCTCATAGATTCCAGAATTAAAATGTCTAATGGTTAGGACTTGAAACGTTCCAAATGATAAAAAGAATGAGGTCTCGTGATTTCTCAATTTTAACGGGAAGTAAAAAACTAATTCATAATTTTACAAAATGCAATGAACATTGTCCCTCAACTAAAGACTTATAATGTACACTGGCAATGAGAATATCCAAAAAATATACTACTCTGGAGATGAGCTAAAGAGCGATGCACAAGAGGATTATTACACATCTCAAATTGAAATCTATGAAACGAAGGTGTAGTAAAAGTTTCTGCCTGTGTGGGAAATGCCACAAAAATACAGTTAGGTAATTAATAGGAAATTTGCGGTTGTTTTTCATTACACGACTACCAAACAATTCAATGAGGACCAAATTCGTTAACAAAAGCTTCATCTGAAGGCGTATTTAATTTTGGAACAAAGCATAGCGATCTTTCTTTTTTGCGTTTGATCTTAACTTTCCCACCACCCAAACGCCTACGAGGGATGAAACGCATCAATGAACACACAAGACTCAAGTTTCTACAGCTTAGAAGTGGGCTCAAAGGCAAAATATGAGAGAGCATCATACCATAAGAATGAAAAGCTAAGAGAAAAAGGAGGGCTATAAACTTCAATAAATTTAAAGTTATTAACGGCTGAGCAAACATACGGTGATAAAACTGATTAGTGAAGGGAAGTTTATTCAACATCTCTAGGAAAAACATAGTGTAGGCACCTTACAAAAAATCTTAATTATTTAAGTATCAAACTACAAAAATTACATGCGCGGGTAAGGTCAAAAAGATCTACAAGTAGAAGAGTAATTTCGAGTGTCATCTAACGCAAGTGAGTCTAGTGCAATAATGGTTGAATCGAAGCAAATCGAGTTTTTTCCCCCTTTCAGTCTTTCCATTTTATCATTGGGTAGAGAACGTCATTAGAGAAGAAATGTATAGAGTGTAAAATGTGATCATCTAAGGCGTGCATACGTCCACTTGTTTTATTTCATGGGTAAAACTCTATGTAGGCAACTATTCGAACTCATGAGTAGCGGTAGGTTGCCGCTTGGCTGATTGAAGGCGTTTTACTTCGCATCGCAAACGGGCAAGTTGATCCAACCCAGATGTGCTCCCGACGAGACCTCTCTTATCCTCGCGCCATTCATTTTGGCGCCTCTCTCCCTTCAAACGTACTAAAACACTCTCTTATTATTATCGAGTTAATAAGCTTTCAAAGGGGGAAAAGAAAGGTTTGCACGTGTAAACTGTAAATAAGTATTGAAATCGATTTTTCTCAGTTTTTATTATTCTCTAATCCCCTATTGAAGAATGTGAAGATCAGTGGCGAAGCGTAAATAATCCATTATCGATATTTCCCCTTTTAAAGCTATGGTATAGAATCGATTATTAAGGTGTTCGATGCGAACACCCCGTACATCGATCCTCTTCGCATGGGTCTTAATGGTATAACAATTTACATATTGCAAAGCACGCTACACCTCTGGTAAAGATTCAAAACCTGCTATGCGTCATGAGATGTTGCAAATACGGGTTTTACATTTAAAAAATCTAAATGCCTTCACTTAACGAACTTCGAATTTTGAACTTGTTTTAATTGTATAAAATGTTATTCTTTGAACTCTAGTCCGACGGGGAAGAAGTAGCTTCCAACTGAATTTATTTTACTTGCGCAAGAAAAAAACAAAAAGAGCAAGTGAGTGAACTCATTCTCTTTTTGTCACATTCTTGTGCGGTCCTCACAATGAAATAATTCGCTTCTATTCGTTCGTAAATAGACTTTTTCCCTTTGCTTCGTTCTGTCCCCCCATTTTTCATCGAATATTGATCATGCGATTGTTGTACGTGTTATTTTAACTTTCAACTCGCAGTTGTTTCACCTCATCATAAGCGTCTGAGTAACTTCAGGTTACTTAAACCGTATTTTTTGACGCATTATCCTCCAATAATTTAAGATTATTTCTGTCATAATCAAGCTTAGCGAAGGAAAGAGACGCGAAAGGCATGGCATGAAGTTTGTTCTTTTTTTTCACTTGCTGCTCCACTATTTTGTGAGCCTTTACCAAAGCGCCCGAGCAGAAGCCATCACAGCTAGTCTGCCGTGCTAAGGAAGAACGCCGTATGAACCGTCAGGCGTTGCCAAACTTCCTTTCATAAAACGCGAATTTCCTGGTAAATTTATGAATATTTTCCTCCCAATTTTTCAGATAATTGATTTCACAATTTTACCTAAAGATTCTGAAAAGTTATAAGCAAAATATCCATAACTTTCCTCAAAAATGAACATTTTGTCGGAGGAAATTTGGCACCTCTCGAATGTTGATACGGCGTTCTTCGATAGCACGGCAGTAGTGACCAACGAGACTGGATAACCGTGTAGAGTCCTATGGATTTTACATAACACCATTTAGTTGCTCCCGCAGGGATACGGATGCCCGCGTTGGCCGCCCTCGGCTCTGACCGAATTGATGTGGGAGGTTTGCGGTCCAGGAGTGTTTGCATTGGGACTCCGAGCTCCACCTTTCCAGATTTCGCGAGAAAATTTCGAAATTTTGTTGCTTCCGCAAAATTAAGCGCCTGCTCGAGAGGGACCCGACACCATCTACGCACCAACGGGATGGCTCCGAGCTCAGTCTAAAAATAGTTAATTAATCTCATTCTCCTTGAGTCTATTGAAATATAATCCCCATCTAATTACGTCCTTAACGCAGAGTTGCAACCTCGGCCCGGTATTTTCAGCCTTTATCCTAGTTTATTGAACAGAGATCAAGGACTTTCTCCCAAGTTCTAATTAGTAAAATCCAGGACAATCAAGGATTTTCAAGAACCTCCGATAGTATTTTCGACCTTAGCCAGGGCAAGAAAGTAAGGGGACCATTATGTCCCCATCAATATTTCGCACCTAGAAACGTAAACGAATGAAACATCTCCAAATTAAACGCATAAAAGAGTAATTGGACGTATTTATGCTAAAAGGAACTATGTGCATAGGGTTTGCGTGGAACATAGTTTCTTTTAGCATAAATACGTCCAATTAGCGTATTTTGTATTCAAAAATAATTGAAAACTCCTATATGACAAAAAAAAGAGCAAAAAAACTTCGCGTTAATTTGTAGAGTTTAGTTGAGTCAAATTTGGCAAAGTAACCTTTTTTTTAGAGTACGTGGCAATATAATTTTCTTCGACTGCAGACCATCCTCCCCCCCAACGTGAATGGTGTCTTGAATCGCAGGTGGAATGAAACCTAACCTAACATAAGCCCCAACGACAAGTATTTTTCACCGGCTGATTTGAACTACGTGTACTTCGGTTTTCCGGACGTGGAGAGTTTGAATTTCACGATTCTAATGTAAGCTATGAACAATGTAATCACACTCACTTGTTAACTGTTCACGATTTTAATACACCCAATGCGTTCAGTGCAAAATCCCGATAAGAGAACATGTCTTGTAGTCTTTCAATTGAACCGCGTTTCTTAGAAAGGACCCAAGCCAGATCGGCTATTACCACATTGAACGGAGCAATTCATTTTTTTACAAAAGAGTGTTTGTGCAGATTCCTTTTAAAAAATTTAAGGAGTTTATTTCGTAAGTACTTTACAGAAAATTCACTGACATATGCACAAAAATCCACACAGCCGTTTTAATGTAACAAATTTAAGTGCCAGATTAAATTTAGCAATTGCTAATGTGGCTTAGTTCCTTTCTACTCAACGCGATCCAATCCTTAGCGTGGCTGGAAAGGATCGGCCAGAGGTTGGTCCGCGTAGCGATCAGGGGGGCAGGGCCCGCTCCGATCGGGCAACGCGGCTCAAGTTAACACTTTTCCCAGCCCCTCCCNTCCTCCCTGTCCGCCCTCGACCCTTGCCCCGCCCCGCCGCACAGTGGACCGAGTCAATAGGAGAAGTCGGACACAATTTGGAAACTTTAAACGCTTATAACTCCGTTTATTTAAAACTTCGAGGTTTTTAAAAGTGGTCCACTGGTTTTCTCGTAGAATTTTCTACCACGAGCACTCTTTGAAATTTAAAATGCGACGAAATAAACATGAAAATTTGCAAGTTTAATCAGGAATTTCATGCGGAAGCTCTGTAATAGACTGGCTGCACTGTGCGGCGTATCCCTCCATGGCCGTGCCCTCAGCTATGACACAATTCAATTTCGGCTAAAATCACTGGGGTCTAGTTTTCCATTATTACACGGCTACGAAACGCGCTACGAGCAATTCCTCGACTCACGTCGGTGTGAGATTGCTTCACTCCCTCGGAGAAGTTGCACTTTTTTCAGATGGAATCGCGAATGGCGAGCAGCGGCCGAGTTAATGGGAAATCCTATATCTCTCATTTCTTGTTTTCCTCCCGGCCCTTCCGACGCTCTATCGCTAAAAACATCGCTCCTCCGACTCGTGGGCGTATCTCAAATTCCACGTGGCCCTCATCTCCGTTTAACTAGGTGCTTTCCCGGGCTCATAAGGAAATGAGGAAACTCTCTTGCGCTAGAGGAGGGGCGAGAAGACCTGCCGGCATCCGTCCTTTGTATCGCCTCGGCGAGGTCCCGATCCAATGACTCAATTACTCTCGTTTTACAGAAATGCAATCAATGGGTCTCTGATGCGCAGTCAACTCGGTAGATTTTTTTAAAATGCATCTTCGGTGCTTCACAACGATTCGCTCGCCGACCGATCCATGGACCTGGACTACCGTGCAAAGGAAGAACGCCGTATCAACATTCGAGGGTTCCCAAGTTTACCTCCATTAAACGTGTATTTTTGACGACATTCATGTATATTTTTCCTTGAAATTTTCAGATATTTCAGATTAAATTGCGTAAAAAATTTTCCGAAAATTTTGAAGAGAAATATCCAACAGATTCCTAACTTGAAGAACGAAGATTCGAAACTCAAAGATTCCTACACGGTAAGAATTCGTACTTTCTCGGAGGAAATTTGGCAAATCCTGAAAGTTTATACGGCGTTCTTCCTTAATACGGTAGTAGAGTACCTATACGGGAAGAGAACGGACATCTGGGTAATTTTGGAGGTTAGCTTATAGAGCTTTTAGGGCCCCAAAAGGCAACCAACCCATGAACTCAAATTATCCAAGATGATTCATTATTGCCACGATTTGCTTGCGAAGCAGGTGTTTGCCTGGGTTTTTGCGTAGATTTACTCATTTTTGCGCAAGTACTCATTTATTAACATTCTTGGCCATCTTGGCTTGATAATGGAATCTTAAGATCGGTAGCGGTATTTTTCTGGCGCTTTTTGTGTAAAAAGGTTGGCTGCCCTTTTGGCCCTATGAACTACGTATTTATTGACATGTCTTTACTCTCCCCATTTTGGTACTCCAGGTGCATCGCGAGTACCTCTGAACGATTTGGTTGCTGATTGGTCGATAGACCACAAGCGAGAATTGGACTCCTGAATAACGTGCTTCCGCATAAAAATTCTAAGAGAAGCTTGTTGAAGAATACATCGGAAGCTTCGAAAATCAACCATTAGTCAGAAATTAGCGTTTTAGATTCACATTATGAAAACTAAATTCAAACTTCCCGCTCGCGTGAAAATCGTATGATCAACTAAGGTTACCTTAGTGTACCTTTTTTAGGCCGACGACAAATTTTCATGGATCTGACGAATTGATCTCGTACATATAAAACAGACTCTACTCGGCCTTAATCTTTGAATTTTTTATTAACTTGTTAATAATTTCTGGATTAGGATATTTTTCAAAAATTTGTCACGCATCGTATCACGCTGTGATCTATGAGATAGTTGGTCACAAGATTTGAGGGAGAAAAATTCCGTTATAATTTTAAAAGCACGCTCTAAGGGAGTATCACAAATCGAAAGACAAAATTAGTTGCGGCACTTTTTCGGAACGTACTTTCGGATCGTTTGTTGATATTTTCCCATTTGACGCTGGAGAAAAGAATCGAGTATTAGAGTGTTCCTTGCGAACACCCTGTTTATTGATATTTTTTCATCAGTTTAATTGGCAGATTAGTCGATATATCGCAAAGCACGCCAAGCCACCGTTTGGAGTCATTCCTATTCCTTGGTCATATCTTGTCATGTCTTGCCTTTGAGCCCACCTTCCTCTTTTATAAAGTTTGGGTCACGGAATAAAGATTTACGTGAAACTTAAGACGCTGGGTTTCAGCTTCGGATTAAAATCCCGAACGTAGGTTTTTAATCTTAATTAAATACAATGTTGCATTCCAAATAAACTTACTGATTATGGAAATAAAAACATAATTCAGATATTAACAAGTAAAGTACTAGGAAGAAGGAGTGATATTTCAAGAGATGCAGTGAATTATATGCGGTGCGCTTTGCTATGTAATAGTAACTGATTCTGAAGATTTTACGTTGCAACTACAAGTGTGCGTAGCAGAATAGCTTTGCAGGCGGATTACTACAAACTTGTAATACTAAAAGTTAAAAGTATGTTTCGAGCAAACGGATAGGGAAAAAATTGAATACGACCTAATTACTTAATAACTTAACGAACATACTAAGATGACATTTTAAAAAAGAAAGAATCCGGAGCTGAGCGTTAACTGTAAAAAATATCGAGTTACTGATGATTCATGAAAAACTTGCCTTGAACGATCGCACAGTTAAAAAATCTAAAACACTGTAGATTGTTTTTTAAAAAAACCCTTTGAGATTTACCAGTGAGGTGGCTAACCGATAAAATTTCAATGAATTCTGCGATTTTGTCTTAAGAACCACAACATTTACTTCTTTCAGTTATTGTAAAACTGCAACAATCCTCATGGTCTATTTTAGAGTGATCAGTGAATTTGACTCCGAAATGTTGAAACGGTTAATCTGCACGAAGGGACTGTTAAACATCGAATTAAAAAAAATTAAAGATGAGTTTTACAAAAACGAGTGGGAACTAATGGTAAACGAACTCAACTAACAGTCTCTACATAGAGGAGGACCGATCGAGTAGATGAGGTTTACATGATCAATATAAATGTGTAGAGAGATTTAGGAGAGAGGCAGAAAACAGGATAGGAGGGCCATTCCACGGAAGGCTGGGTCGATACATAAACTCATCTTGATTTTTCCATTCAAATAAATCCTCGGTTTTTAATTTTTTCGACCCTTAATTGCGCACCGTTGCATAGAAGCGATAACTGGTTTTTCTGGCTCTAGTCCTTGGTAGTATTTGCAAATTGCATCGAAGCAACACAAGGTTTTGGGAGCGAGCAATAGGAGTCTCATCTCCAAACTTTCACAAGAATATAAAAAATTCGACCCGAGCTGTCTCTAAAACCGAATAAATTCCGTGCTATACAGATTTTCTCTCCAAAATCAACGATTCGCTCATGCAATAAAAGGGTGCAATACGCAAAGAAACATTAAAGTCTTTATTTTCAAGTTTTAGGGGGAAAAATCACGCGTCAAAGGAGGAGTATCGTTAAGGACAGTTTTTGGGTCCATCCTGATTTTCCTCAACATTACAATTGTTTGCTCCTTGAACGTCTATATTTTACGAAGTACAACATGATTTCCTCATTTTCGGTCTTATACGTCGGGCTTAAGACTGGCCTGCATATGGGTCTTAAGGCCGAGTTTGACTAAAAATGCGGGTTTGACTAAAAATCCGCAATTTTCGCCAAAATCCGACTTCAGACCCTTATACAGGCCAGTATTAGGTAGACCTGAGAAGAGACCGGAAACTACCAAAGCATGATGTGCTCCATAAAATATAGACCTTTATCGAGCAAGAAATCGCAAGGTTTAGGAAATTAAAGGGGGCCCCAAAAGAGAGGACCTCCTTTCAATATTTCTCATCAAATTCTCGGATGACTGTTTTGCCGTGCTAAGGATTAGCGCCGTATGAACATTCGAGAGTTGCCAAGTTTCTCCGGATAAAAAAAATGTATTCTCTAGGAAAGTTATGCAAATGTTTTGGATGGAATTGCGAACAAAATTATCTAAAAAAATTTAACAAAAAATATTAACAATTTTTCCAGTAAATTCGGTTATCATTGAAGGAAATCTGGCAAGGAACGGTGAACTGGCTCATACGGCGTTTTTCTTAGGCATGGCAGCGTTGGGGGTTATATGCGGAGGAGCTGAAAAATGGTGTAAATTTGACTTTTGATGAGAATGAAATTTGAGTGTGGATCTCTGGGCTGGGGCTAAGCTTGGGAATGACCCTCGGGATGGAAGGGGAGGAATCAGGAAGGGGATGTTGGTGAGAAGAGATGTTATCCTTGGCAGACCTGGCCCAGACGGGTGTCCGCAAGCGGCGCCTCTGGACGGGCACGTGGAGTTTTTTGGAGCTCGCACGACCCCCACTTCCTCCTTCCCCGCCGCCGCCGTGTTCCTGGTCGCTCCCGTGCAGAGAGTCTTTAAGCGACGAGGGCTCATCCAACCGTTCTCTGTGTCCATCGGGCAAGCGCAACAGATCAACATGAATCAATCACATTTCATACAACAAAAATCCCCCCACCCCACCCTCCAACCCTCCCCGCCCAACACACACCTACTCGAAAAACAACATAACACAAAAACACCCCGAATAATTGAACGAATTTCCATCAAACGGAACTAAGCGCCATCGGGGGAGGAACGGAGAGGGGGACTCCGATTGGCGGATGTTCGTTCCGCCCTGTACTCGCAATGCTTTTCCACGGCGCTTAGTTCCGTTTCACAGCAATACATCCAATTTTACTAAAAAACACAAGAAAACGGGTAATCAAGGCTAAAATACACATAAAATTAACACAAGCCGTAGGATATTTTCAGGTGGTTTCCCCGACTTCGACTAGGAAACAAAAACATACAAAAAATTATAAAAATCAAAATATCCCCATTCGTGATAACAAAGAGTGAGGTTATCTCTCCAAAACGTATCAGGTTTTGGGTTCATTGTTTTTTAACCTTGGTAACACGTTTTATTGTATTTTTAAGCTATTAAATAGATCAGGGTGTCTACAAAATTTTCGTTTTGGATTTTCTTTACATTTTCCTGAAATTTCCCGATATTTAATTGTTTCTTGATTTTTTGCTTGGGTAAATTGATACTCATTTGATTTATCAATCAAAATATTCGATTAATTGACTCAAATGTTTGAAACAAGCACTCAGAATAATTAGTTTTTTGCGAAATTTCTTAATTTCGTGGTGTCACTGTTTAAAATGAAACTGCTGAGTGAACTGAACGAAGGAATATCCTTGGTTTCTAAAATGAACAATTATTTGAGGAGATATGACCAAATGACGTAGTTTCCTAAAATGAGTGTATTTAAATGGAAAAACCCGCCTGATATAGCGTCACAAGCGGCAGATTTTCTCACATTTAAAATTTTCCTACAATTTCCCGTTAAAAAAAAAAATTGTATGGTGACAACACATGAGCTGATCGCACATTGCCGGTAATTACTGACTGTCTACAACATAAATTTTAAAAAAGCCCCTTTTGTTCTTTTTCAAAGTGAAAATTATGGGGGAAAATAGAATCAAAACTGTGTTTAGTTGTAAAATTATTTTCTACCGCCAAAAATATTGATCAATGACTTGAGTTGTTTAATCAACCCCCAGTGGTTCACAAAACTTGTACTGGTTCGTGTCACGATGAACATACCTACCTATAGTTCATTTTGATTTAAATACGTCTAGTTAGGATGATTCAGGTAGAACTCCTTCAATTACTTAATAAATCTATTTAATCATTTTGCCAAGGGTTCTTCAAAAAGCTGTTCCGTTCAATTCTGCCAGAATATGTCCGGAACACATTGATTTTTCCTGCCTTGTACACGAGTGTACCATTCACACACACAGTGTTTACATCGAACATCTATGCGTGACAATGGTAAAAATATTAAATCATTACAGTATTTTTAAGGGGAATAAATGAATGCTTCGACCGCCCTCAATAAATGTTAAATTTCTTAACTGGGAATTTTCAGACAACCACTTTTCTAATTTGAAAACGAGAAAATTAAATGTAAATATGTTTCTAGTATCAGAGGTTACACATCCTTATCGTATTCGATCTCAAATTGTACCCCATGAGGAAGATGAACGTGGAGAGATTGGATTCGTTAATTTTTCTACCACCACATTTACAGCATATGAAACTCGTATCATTTTTACAACACAAAATTGCCAATCTCTGCCGCCGCTGAATAGGATTGGAGGTATCGTTTAGTTTTAAAATAATCGCTGCTACTGAAAGCCTCTAAAGGTGCCAAACACGACGATCGCATTTTTTGTCAAGAATTATGGCATGATAGAGCTATTAAAGCACGCATGAAAGCAGCATTGCACAGCTGAAAAGGTGATAATCGCCAACTGCTCTAATGCATACGGCTCAATTTAAGCATACTCAATTTATTATTGAAAAACACATGACCACAAAGCTTATATTAAGAATGGATGATAATTACACACTTGTTAAAATTATGACGTTAAATTGTTGGAGCAGAATTTTAACACAGTTAATAATCTAAACCAACTGCTCCCACCGTACATTTTAGGAAAGCACGAGGAAACCTGGACAAGGACGGAAGTAATATTTTGCAGATTGGGTATTGAACCCACATCGATGACTTCCTACTCAAACATTTAAATTTCATTTTCTATTTTTCGAAACCAATTTTTATCGTGCAAGTTTTGGGATGTGAACTCCCCGACGTTCCATTTTTTTATTCTCTTCGAATAATTTAACACTCGTGCTTATTTTCAGTGCAATTCTTCACTTTAAAGATTTCCGACGTTCTTAGAGACGGGTGGTAACGGGGAATGAACATTCCCGTTCTACGAAATAATCATAGGTCGTCCAAAGATTATGGAACCAAAAGTTCTTCATAAAAATCCCACGATAGAGGATCTCATTCTTGAATCCAGATCAGCATTTTATTCTCTGTTCATGAGCTATGAAATAAATTAGTAAGCATGTTACTTTCGTTTCTTTGAAATGTACTGTATGTGATTTAATCTTACAAAATCCGCGCAAATTGGGAATAGAAACTTTCAGGCATTTTAAAATGCTGACATTTTGCGAGAGGTATTTCAGGAAATTTTGGAAATTTATAAAAACAAAACTGATTTACCTAGCACTGCGCTAAATAATTATCATTATTCTTCCAATGATATTTGAGGGTTTTATGTCATTTATATTCATTGCTTATGTTTCACCAGTGGCGTGGCGTGCTTTGCGATATATCAATTGATCTACCATTTAAACCTATAGAAAAGGATCGATTATTAGGGCGTTCGCAGCGAATACCCGAATAATCGATTCTTTACAACAGCTCAAATGGGGAAATATTGAGAATCGATCATTCACGCCTCGCCACTGTGTCTCACGTGAAATAGAAAAGGGAAATGAGAGAGATAATTTGTCAAAAAAGGGGGAGGACCGTTGTGTTTTTTGGTGTTGTTAAGCTGATTGCATATTCGGCCAATGGAAGGGATATAGTTTGATTATAGGGGGAAAAAAGAGCACGGGATTGTCGGATGATATGGACGTTTCCAATTAACTGCGGTAGTGCCCCCAAAAATTAGGCTACATTAAAATGGCAAATTTGGCTGGCTAAGCTGTATAGAACACGGTAATTGGTTTAAATTAAATCGAGCTACAACCTGCCGAGTGAAACCGTAATTGCCTGTCTATGCCTTAGTTCCCCTCTGCTTTCCTTGTTGGTCTTCGGTTTTATTATTTACCTCCTTCATTCTTATCCCTATTATCACTCGTCTTTTTTCATAAATTGTACCTTTATTTTGACTTTATTCGAAGATGTAGTGGTCAAAAATATTTTCGCATAGTTGCTAATAGTTTTGTAACTTTTTTATTTTGTAAAATGTCTCCGATGATTGTTCCTTACGCACTGAAGAAGATCGCAGTTTGTAGGCGGTCAGAACGTTTGCTTTATTTCTTGTAAGTTTTATATTATTTCTCATCTATGTAAATGTAGTTTGAAATATTACTCGATTATTTTTGGCTTGTAGCTCGATTTTTTTAAAATCAATTAACATGTTCTAAATTAGGTTACTATAACCGTAATGTTGCAGTATTACCCCGTGTTGAGTTGCGATACTACCACAATTAATTGGTTAAATCTCCAGTTCATTCAACAAATTGATGTACGAAGATCGCAGGCAGGACGTAAAGATGCGGCAGGAATGAAGATCTACGCTAAGTTTTCCGGGAACGGGAAAGTTTCCGGAAAATTACGACAAGACCATCCTTTCCCAGAGAACTTCGGCAGGAAAATTGGTAAACACACGATGCATCGCTCATACTTTGAGGAGCTACTTCCTTGAAATTTTTCCAGGAATGTTCCCCAATTATTCCCGAAAATTTTTCAGTTTTGGTTCCTAGGGCTTGACTTCCGTAGAAACTTTGATCCTGAGACAGGAAAACGTCGCCAAAACGGAATAGCAGTGGCTGGAAAGATTCACTGACGTCAAACGTGGAAACGGGTGGCAATGCTCCGACAGTGCTATCAAATATTTACGGAACTCAGCCGCCAAGGGATGGAATCCAGGTGTATCCGCAGTGGATGATAGCTCGCGCAGATCGACTTGAAGCTGGAATGAGATCGGCCCGATCCCTAGGGACCGCGGCATGGCCCATCCCATCATCGTCTTCCACGACAAAAGACCAAGTGTGTCACACAGCTCGGATACTGAGAAAAATTGCATTTTTACTCGAAAAAAAAAATAAATAAATAAAAAAATACATGTGGACATACTTCTACCAAACAGAACTTTGTGAGGGTGGGAAAGATTGGGTGTGCTCGTTAGTTCTCGGGTGGTAAGAATGCATGGGAATTATAAAGCGCCAGTGACGTCAGATATCACAATATAAGCGTTCACAATTCACATTTGTTATATTTTAAAGATACAAATGACGTCATTTGTATGATCTAACCTCCATTTGATCTATGTTAAAATATTTGTTAGTATTTCATTCAAAAGTTGATTACTCTTATCCGATATGTGAATCGTTTTCTACGTAAAATTTCGTAGAGAAAAGAAGTAGCGTTTATTTCTGGTTCAGACCATGTCTAATGGCCCATTTACCGGTGGGGAAAAAATGTGTGGAAACGTATAAATCCTCAATACATCGAAGAAGAGGCGATACATTCTGCCGTGCAAAGGAAAAACGCCGTATGAACATTCGAGAGTTGCCAAAAAACCTCCGATAAAATGTTTATTTTTGAGAAAAGTTAGAAATATTTTACCATGAAATTTTTACACCATTAGGATCAAACTACGAACAAAATTCTCTGGGAAAATCGGAAGAAAAATGTTTATAAATATTCCTGAAAATTCGCGATTTATCAAAGAAAATTTGGCAAGGCCTATAGGCTCATACGGTGTTTCTCCTTAGCGCGGCAGCCTTGAGCGGAGTCTATGGAGGCACCTTGAA